ACATTAATGAAACACTAGCACCTAAATCACATAAAGCTTTATCAAAACAAACATCACCCATAGAGATAGGAATAGAGAAACTTCCTGGATCACTCAATTTTGGAGGCAACTTCTTCTGCATAACAACACTACACTTCTCAGATAATGCAATTGTCTCAAAATCTTCCACTTTCCTTCAGTTGGAGATGATCTCCTTCAAGAACTTCCCATAAGTAGGAATCTGAGCTAAAGCATCTGCAAAAGGAATGTTAATATGCAATTGCCTAAAAATTTTCAGAAATTTCTCAAATAGCTTATCTTGCTTGGTTATATGGAGTCTCTGTGGAAAAGGCACTGGTGGAACATAAAGTTTAAGCGGTGGTGGCACATATATCTTTTCTTCCTCTTGTTCCACTTTCTCCACTTTTTCTTCATCACTCTCTTTACTCTCTTCTTTCTTCTCATCAGTGGACACATTCAGTTCACTGGTCTTTGGTTCCTCCTTGTCACCCAACTGCTTCCCACTTCTCAACATGATAGCACTACAATTTTCACGAGGGTTGATTTCAGACTTGTTTGGTAGTTGACCTTGCCCACGAGTATTCATGGCGGAAGCCATTTGACTCACCTACATCTCCAAGGTTTTATGAGCAGTACTCAGTTGACCTAACCTTGCTTCTATTCTGTTAGACCGTTCATTGTTTTCACTCAACAATTTCTCCATTCTCTCCAAACTTGCCTCCGTTGCTGACTTAGGCGCAGATTGGTATGACTTTGCTTGGAAACCAGGAGGGTTTTGAGGTTTTACATTAAAGTCTTGAGCCCCTTGATTACTCCAAGAAAAGTTTGGATGATTTCGCTACCTAGGATTGTATGTGTTGGAGTACGGATTGTTCTGTTGTTGAGGCTTGCTGAAATTAGAGACATATTGTGCACTTGCCAGTTGCATACATTCAGAGCTCAAATGAGGACCTCCACAGAACTCACAGACAGTGGCATGGAAGACCGCATTAGCATTTACAAGATTACCCATCGCCTTATTCAGTGCATCTATCTTTGCATTCATGGCACTTAGTTCATTGACTTCATACATTCCAGCAGGCTTCTTGGAAACACTTCTTGAGTTCGACCATTGATTCCTATTCTTTGCCATAATTTGAAACAATTCATAGGCTTCATCAATTGACTTATCCATCAATGAACCTCCAGCTGCAGCATCCACATTGTTTCTTGCAAAGTCTGTCAATCCTTGATAGAAAGTCTGAACAAGAGTACTTTTCTCAATACCATGGTAAGGATATCTTCTTTGCAATTCCTTAAATCCTGTCCATGCATCATGAAATGTCTCATCATCTTCTTGAATAAACCCAGGAATTTGATTTCTCAATTTCGCTGTCTTATCTGGTGGGAAGAAATTGATCAGGAACTCCTTGTACAACTCATCCCAAGTTGTGATGGAACCAGGATCGCAAGTATTCAACCAATTTTTCGCTTCTCCCCTCAGCGAGAAAGGAAAAAGTCTCAGCCGGATTGCATCTGACGTCACACCATTTATCTTAACAGTATCACCGATCTCTAAAAAGTTGTCAATATGCGCATTTGGATCCTCATTGTTAAAACCGGAGAATTGATTCTGCTGCACCATCTGGATTAATGCTGGTTTGAGCTCAAAGGTATTCGCTGCAATGGTAGGCCTAGTAATACTTGACCTAGCAACATTCTCCGTAGGTGTGAAGTAATCCCTCAGTGTCCGAATTTTATCACCCATGGTTTCACCCTGATTCTTCTCTTTTCTTAGCCTTGATTCTTTTCTACTTGCACAAGCTGTTCTTTCTATTTCTGGATCAAATTGCAAAGTCTCAGGATTAGCACTTCGCATATAAAAACAAGACAAAAATAAAACCAACCAGGATAGCAATAAAATAAAATAAAGATAAAAATAAATCTAAACTAATAAAAAAAAATCATTTAAGTTAGATATTAGCTGCCTTCCCCGGCAACGGCGCCAAATTTGACAAGCCGTCGTCACACTAGTCAAATATTAATTACTTACTTAATACAATTACTAGTAGTAAAGCAGAAAGCAGGGTCGATCCCACAGGGAAGGTTACCAAGTACCGGTTAAAATTATTTCTTATTATTATTTAGATTAACAATTTATCAATTTAAACTAATCTAAACCTAAAACTAACAATTGCAATTATTTAAAGATATAAATAAGTAAAAGAAAAACCTAGGCAAAGGGTTCACCAACCGACTATTCAGTTTAATTTAATCTATAGATATGTGACTTTTGACTCTCATTAATCTCACGACAATTCACCAATTTAAGAATTATACACTCTCGTGCCATATCCCTCTTACTTAAACTAACCCTATGACTACTCTCGTGACTATAGGGATTAATAAAAGCACATTACGAACTTTGGAATTACTAGTCGCAAAGGCGGTATTGCTACTCTTGTGGCTCACTACCTAAGTTTATTATTCCTACAAACTAATACTAGCCTTCCACTCTCGCTACTTCAGCTAACACCTTAAAGCATGCAAATATTGATCAGGTATTCACATGGATGAAAAATAAGAATAATAAATATTAATTAATGAAAAAGTCACAATCATAACTTAAATTAAATTAAATAGTACGGCGGCTATATCCAAAACCCTAGATTAAATAATTTAGCTACACATCATCTCAAAAATAAATAAAACAATGAAACCCGGAAAAAAGATAGCCAATAGTTAAGATTGAAGTTGATGAACAACTGCTTCTTTCCTCCTCCGATGATGTGCGTTGGTGATGAGGAGATTTGGTGCGTGGAGGTGTTAGTTTTGGGCTGATGGCGTGGTGATGGGATGAGATGGTGATGGAGGCATGGTGATGGGGCTGTGTGAAAAGGGCTGATGGAAAAGGAGGTGATGAGGCGTAAATGGTGATGGGGTAGATGGAGGTCGGCCGAGTGAGGTGATGGGTGGTGTGCTGCGTGGGAATGGAGGGTGAAAGGAAGCAAGGAGGAGAAAGGGTGGTGCGATGAAAGTTTGGCAAAGGAAGCAAGGTGGCGGAGATGGTGAAGTTCTCTCAAAAAAAATAAAATCCTACTCCTCCTTTTATAGGCTTTCGTCAAATCCTATTTTTTAAAAAATAAGAAAGTTATTTTTTTTCAAGCTAATTTAAATTAAAATTCCTCCAACTCTTCAAGTGTTTCAATTTCTTCCTTGTCAATTTAACAAATCTTCAATTCTCCCTTTGAGTTGCTTTTATCTTCATTTTAGCCCAAAATTTCAACAATTTCTCCATTTGAGTACAATTCCTACAATTAAAGATAAAATCACATAAATAACATATTTATACTCAAAATATATTACAAAAATCACAAATTAGAGATATAATAAATAGGTAAAATATAAACGTATCAATGACTAAGAGTAAGAACAACTCAAATCGTATGGTGTGTGTGTGTGTGTGTGTTTTTTTTTTTTTGATAAAATGTTTAATTTCCCAAATAAATGGAATGTGGAATATTTATTGTTTCGAAAAGAACAGACAATCAATTCAGTGATCTGTGATTAAAGTCACTTAAACTACATTCTTAACTATTCACAAATCTGGAATCGAATTGATTCTCAAAGCACTTACACAATACGGACAAAAATATAAAGCAGCCAGTTGATGGATAATTTGATTAATTACTTAGTTCAGAAGTTCTTTTATATGCATGTAGATAGTAAAGAATAATTAAATAAATTGCAAGTGCTGTTTTGTAAATTCTGATTCCGAAAAACCCGAGTCGCGTTTTCTTTTTTTTTTTTTAATCATTGGATCACTTTTTGGAAGAATATTTTTCCTTTAGGTTATTATATGTAAAAGAATCTAGAGAGAAATGATAAATAATGTAGTATAGGAGATTTGGTAATAAGGTGTAGTAAATAGACACTGATTTTCTTTCAGCCAGAAAATTTTCTTTCATCGGATTAATCGTGCGGCTAAAGGTTTGAAATGAGACATGGAATGGAGAAGAACTATATAACGGAGATTGGTTTAATTACAAATCCATAGAACGTGGCTAAAAGATTTCTTACGCCATAATTTTAAATCAGTTTTCGTATTATTTATAAAAATTTTAACACATTGTCTGGACGGAATTATCCAATGGTAGATTAGAGTGTTAATAATGAAAATTAACATGTAAAGAGATTAAGAGAGAAATATAAAAAATATTACACGGTGATTTAGGAAGTATTGGATTATGGTGTATGAAATTCTTAACATGACTGTTTGTATCTTACTGTAATTTCTTTTTTTTTTTTGTTTAGAAAAAAAAAAAAAGGAAATGAACCATTTTCCCCCAAGGGCATTGGCACTCTAATTTATTTACTTCTTTTGGTATAGATAATTTCTCCAAAGTTAATAATACAGGGTCCGCCAAGACAAACAAATGAAAACTAACAGGCGAAAAAAAAAAAATCATATTCTTGTGGTCCAATTGTTTTGTTTTTGTCCAGCATGTATGCAATTTCGTTTTTTTTTTTCATAGTCTGTAATGTTAACTGTTTTTATAGGACAGAAAAAATTATTAAAAAAAAAAAACTTTCATCGTTGCTTCACTTACCTTTCAAAGCTGATTTCCTGTCCTTTGTAGTTTGTATCATACATTAAGCTATCTTCTCATTTTGACTTTCTCCTCTACTTCTCCCTCTCTCTCTATCTCTCTTTTTATTGGTACTTTGTTGCTTCCTAATTTTTAAACGCTATGGTCACATCTACACAAACATCATTCACGAGTAGCTCGGTCAAAATTTGTTGAGTTTGATTCATATCGATTTTGGTTTGAGCTCAAGATATCTATTACTTTCCCCGTCTCATAATTATTGTTCAATTTAGACTTTCATTTTTAGTTCAATTTGTACTAGAAGTGAAAACCCAAACTGGACAATAATTTTGGGACGGAGAGGGTATTTTTTTTTTTTTAAATACAGGTTGAATAAAACTGGAATCCCAAGCGAGTTTGTGCCCTTATAACAACGGGATCAACCCTAGCTGAAGCTTGGATCACTAATTTACCCCTCTAGTTTTCATTTTTGTATAACTAAAAGAGGTAAAATTTCCAATAGTATAACTTTTAAGAAATTTTCTACTGTCAAGATGACTCAGTACATAGTATATACTCTGTTTCCGTCTCATTTTAATAGTAGTCTCCTCGGGTGAACTAAAACAGTATAACAAAATGGACATCGGAAGTGATATGAAATATAAATGCAAGCCATATATCAGTTCGTTTGTTCAAACTGTGTCAACATTAACATGGTCTTGATTCCCACTCATTAGCACGGTAGCACCACACTTTAGTAGAAGCATATAAAAGCTTTCAGTTCTTGTCATAATTACTTCAAGATTCTGGGAGAACAGAAGGTATTAAATATGGAAAATCATCACCATAAAAGCCAAGTGATGGCTTCTGAGGAAAGTTGTACTGATGAACCACAACCCAGTGTAGAAGTTGAAGCTAAGAAAATGGTAGCTGGTTATAAAGTTGCATTCTATAAGCTATTCTCTTTTGCTGATCCTCTTGATTATGCTTTGATGGTTGTTGGGACAATCACTGCTGTCGCGGCCGGGATTAGTGTACCCCTTCTGGCTTTGCTCTTTGGGGAGGTCATAAACTCATTTGGTCAGAATGTGAAAGCAGAACAAATCTTACATGAGGTTTCTAAGGTAAAACTTAGGGAGAAAATAAAAAATCAACTTGTTTCCATGTCTTCAGTCAGTTTTTTTTTTTTTTTTTTTTTTTGTGTGGATCATTTTATATAGAATACTGTTAAGATCCTATCTCCTTTCAGGTATCTTTGAGGTTTGTTTTCTTGGCTGTAGGCGCCGGCGCTGCATCTTTCTTGCGTAAGTTCAGTTCTGCTTCTTGTTTGTCAAATGATATTCTCTGACAAGTAACATATATGTACTAATAGAATCAATGCATACCGAAGGAAGTACTAAAGAGAAGCGGCGTGTTTCTTGGCAGAGGTGACTTGTTGGATGATAACAGGGGAGAGGCAGGCTGCTAGGATTAGAAGCTCTTACTTGAGATCTTTATTAATGCAAGACATTGCATTCTTTGACAAGGAAATCAGTACAGGCGAAATAATCGAGAGGATATCAAGTGATACTATTTTGATTCAAGATGCAATGGGGGAAAAGGTATGGTGTATTACAATGTTATGATGGAGAAAATGAAGTGTACTGGGAAGCATCGTTTCAAGTTGATTATGATACTTCTTTCTTTGAAAAAAAAAAAAAAACAGGTTGGAAAATTCATACAGTTATCATCCTCATTTTTTGGAGGCTTTGTAGTTGCTCTAATTAAGGGCTGGCTGCTCGCGTTGGTCTTGATATCTTCGATTCCCCCTCTTATACTTACCTCATCTGTTATGAGTTTCCTGATGACGAAGTTAGCATCCCGTTCACAGGCTGCTTATTCGGTAGCAGCAACAGTTGTGGAACGGACGCTCAGCTCTATTAGAACAGTGAGAATTTTGTTTTTAAGGTATTTTTCTTCAAATAGTTTTGATAGTAATTTCACCCTATTCTAAATATAGGTTGTATCTTTCACTGGGGAAAGACAAGCTATAGCTGAATACGACAAGTCCCTGAATAAAGCATACAGATCAGGAGTGCATGAAGGATTAGCCGCAGGGTTGGGCTCTGGTGTTTTCATGTGTGTCTATTTTTGCAGCTACGGTTTGGGCATTTGGTTTGGTTCGAAGATGATTTTGGAAAAGCGTTATACAGGAGGAGATGTCCTGAATGTAATCATGGCTGTGCTTGTAGGATCCTAGTGAGTATTGGTCGTCGATGGCAATGGCTTTCATCCTGAAACTAAATAAGATCATGTTCAGTGTGATAAGAGAGTTGTGCTAACTTTTGTCATCTTTTATGTTTCCCAGTTCCATTGGGCAAGCATCCCCTTGCTTGAGCGCATTTGCTTCGGGAAAAGCTGCAGGTTTCAAAATGTTTCAGATAATGAACAGAAAGCCAGATATCAATCATTGTAATCCTAGTGGCCTGATATTGGATAACATTGATGGCACTATTGAACTGAAAGATGTCCATTTTAGTTATCCAGCGAGGCCGAATGAGAAGATATTCAATGGATTTTCTATTTCAATACCAAGTGGAACAAATATGGCTTTGGTTGGACGAAGTGGAAGTGGAAAGTCCACAGTTATTAGCCTTATTGAGAGGTTTTATGACCCACAGGTAGGTGAAGTCCTAATAGATGGAATCAACATCAAAGAGTTTCAGCTCAAGTCAATCAGAAGCAAAATTGGTCTTGTCAGCCAGGAACCAATGTTGTTCTCCTTGAGCATTAAGGATAACATAGCCTATGGGAAGGACAATGCAACTCTTAACCAAATCAAAGCTGCTGCAGAGCTTGCAAACGCCGCGAAATTCATAGACAAGCTACCTCAGGTTCAACTGTGCAATGATTTTCTGGACTATATACACTATTATAAAGCAAACTTCATTTATCCACACATGACATTTCCCTTTGGGTATTATATACAACTCCTAATATGCATTTTGAGGTGGGTTGTTCTAAATGATAATTCAGGGATTTGACACGATGGTTGGTTCGCATGGAAGTCAGCTGTCTGGAGGACAAAAGCAGAGAATCGCATTAGCGAGAGCGATTCTAAAAGATCCTAGAATTCTATTGCTGGATGAAGCTACAAGTGCTCTGGACGCAGAATCTGAGAGGATTGTGCAAGAAGCACTGAACAGGGTCATGGTTAACCGAACTACTGTTGTTGTAGCGCATCGCTTGAGCACAGTGAAGAATGCTGATGTAATTGCTGTTCTTGAGCAAGGGAAAATTGTTGAAAAAGGTATCTTTACTTCCCTAAAGTAATCTCACCTATCACCATTAACTTCTGCAGATTAAATGAATGAGGATCTTTCTCTTCTTAGCCCTTGTAGCAACCCAATGGTAACATTGTGGTAGTCCATTAGTTTCAGTTATGCTCATAATGTGTCGAATGTCTTTCAACCACCAGGTTCACATATTGAGCTTCTACAAGATCCTGAAGGAGCATACTCTCAGCTCACAAGGTTGCAACAACATACTGAAAAGCCAGATGATCTTTTGGTGTATAATCATGATGACTCCGAGATTACAGCAGATTCAGGACGTCATTCAAGCAAGAGAATCTCCTTATCAAGATCCATAAGCCGGTGTTCTTCTGGATTAGGAAGTAGTAGCAGGCGCCATTCAGTCCGCATTGGAATTGGTCTGCCTGCTGTGGTTGGCATGCTGGAAACCAAAGATGATGAATTCCGGGAATCAGATTCTCCATCATTAACGACCTGTCAAGATTTTTCGCTACTCCGCTTGGCCTATCTGAACAAACAAGAAATTCCAGAGTTGATATTCGGTTCCCTAGCAGCAGTTGTTACAGGTGTACTGCTACCAATTTTTGGGATCATTATTTCCAGAGCTATCAAAACTTTCTATGAGCCTGCTCATGAACTTCAAAAGAAATCAAAACTATGGGCATTACTTCTTGTGGTTATAGGGATTACTAATTTGCTCGCAACACCGTTGAAAACTTACTTCTTTGCTATGGCAGGCTGTAAGCTAATTAAGCGCATCCGGTTAATGTGCTTTGAAAAAATAGTCCATATGGAGATAAGCTGGTTTGATAGGCAGGAAAATTCAAGCGGTAAAATTAGTTCCCGTCTTTCAGTTGATGCAACATCTGTGAGAAGTGTCGTTGGAGAATCGCTTTCTTTCTTTGTTCAAAATATTGCAACAGCTTTGGCTGGTTTGATCATTGGATTTGGAGCAAGCTGGGAACTATCCTTCATAACATTATTCATGCTTCCTCTGATCGGTCTAAATGGATATATGCAGATGAAGTTCGTTAAAGGATTTAGTACAGATGCCAAGGTTTGTTTAACTGACTAGTTTTAGCCTATATATCTACTTAGGATATTTTATGTTCTGCAACCACTTGGTTATGACATTCACAATTTTAAAAAAAGCTGAAAAACCATTCTTACTGTGCATCGAGAACATATTTAAACAGAACTAAAGTTGCTACACTATGACAACTGTTTTTCCTTTTATTGTTACCGACGATGTTAAACATGTACTTCTTTGCCTCTTCCTCATCATCTGCAATCAATGTTTGCAGAAAAAGTATGAGGATGCCACTCAAGTAGCAAGTGATGCAGTAGAAACTATTAGGACAGTTGCATCCTTTTCTGCAGAGGATAAGGTAATTCAACTGTATGAGAGGAAATGTAAAGACCCGATAGAAGCTGGAACTAGACAAGGACTGTATAGTGGGATAGCATATGGTTTTTCCATGTTCTTGCTAAACTCATCATATGCAACAATATTCTATGCTGGAGCTCAACTCATTAAGGCTGGCAGGATAACCTTTGCTGAAGCTTTTCAAGTAAACTCTTCTATTCCATTGGCCACTTTTATAGTTGTTCAACAATCTAGCAGTTTTTAAACTCTTTACTTTCTCCTTCAATTCACTGTTCTCTCTTTCACTCACATGGCAGGTCTTCTATGGTTTAAGCTTGGCTGGGGTAGCTATTTCTCAATCAAGTGCTCTCAGTCCAGACACTAGCAAAGGAAGAAGCGGCGCTAGTTCCATCTTCACAATCCTCGACCAAAAGTCGAAAATTGATTCCAGTGAAAATACAGGAACTATATTGGATAATGTTAAAGGAGATCTTGAATTTCAGCATGTCAGTTTCAGATATCCTAGTAGACCTGACATTGAGATTTTTAAAGATCTTTGTTTGACAGTTGAGTCTGGAAAGGTAATCTTTAGTCCTTTTTCGTTCATATCCATACTTGACGAATTCAACTTTACTGACATCTATTAACTGATAATTGTTAGATTGTTGCTCTGGTTGGAGAAAGTGGTTGTGGGAAATCAACTGTTATATCATTGCTACAAAGGTTTTACGATCCTGATTCTGGTGAAATCACACTAGATGGTGTAGGGCTGAGAAGATTGAATTTGAAATGGTTAAGATCACAGATGGGACTGGTTAGTCAAGAGCCAATTTTATTTAACGGCACAATCCGAACCAATATTGCATACGGGAAAGAGGGAACTGCTACAGAAGCTGAAATCAAAGCCGCAGCAGAGATTGCAAACGCTCACAATTTCATTAGTGGACTACAACAGGTTTATATACTAATATTTTCATGTGAAGTGTTCAATACAAGAGACATACATGTATAGAAGATTGATCAATCTTATAAGATCAGCAGAAATTGTTCTAAATTTGTATTTCTTTGACAAATTACTTATGCAGGGATATGATACAATAGTAGGTGAAAGAGGCATACAGCTATCGGGTGGACAGAAACAAAGAGTGGCAATTGCAAGAGCTATGGTAAAGTCCCCGAGGATCTTACTACTTGATGAGGCCACTAGTGCTCTTGATGCCGAATCTGAGAGAGTAGTGCAAGATGCATTGGATCAAGCTATGGTTGGGAAGACCACAATCGTGGTGGCACACAGGCTATCCACCATTAAGACTGCAGACTTGATTGCTGTCATTAAAAATGGAACTATTGAAGAGAAAGGAAAACACGAAAGTTTGATCAGTGTCAAGGATGGCATTTATGCTTCCCTTGTAGCATCCTATGCGGCCACTGCACATAAATGAAGCATAAACAGATTTGTTTGGTATGAAATAAGGTACAGGTTGAACCTCTGTATAGTACCATTCTTCACGTTCAATGAATCTCTCGCAACTTCCAATGGCTAGTTCCTGCATGACGATGGCTGTACGATGAGTGTGTTTTTCATCCTGGTTCTCTGATTAGGATCTAGCTATCACTTTTTCAGTGAGACAATTGAGCCCAGGACACCACTCATGGCCTGATTAACAGATGATGTATAGGTGCGAAGATTCTGCTCGCAGTTCAGTCTTCATTCCTGTACTGAATAGGGGGGATTAAAACTTTTCAGGAAAATAAACCTTCATCTATTTCCTGCGACACTTTCTTCTTTTTTCTTCATTCAAAAGAAGTTACTGAAGACAGCCTGCAATATGCAACCAAAAAAAAAAAAAAGAAGTTACTGAAGACAGAATATCAAATAAACTACTAAGGTAAATATTTCTATACACCAGAGAGTTGCTGTTATATCTTATCCAGGTTTTGTTTTGTTTTTTTTTTTTTTTTGAGGGATCTTATCCAGGTTTATTCCAGTAAAGTAACATGTAATCTCTACAGATACTGTATAAAATAGGAGAATCAAAGGGGACGAACCTGAGTTGAATTTTGACGTTTCTTTTCTAACAGGGGATTGTTATAGATTCCTGACAACAAAGCATTGCTGCATTGCTACAAAGAGTTAATATCAAAACTGAAACTCTACACAAAATTTATCACCAATAATCCTTGCATGAACAAACATCATCCTTGAAATGATGAAAGCGGATACCATCTCGGAGAATAATTTCTCTACCACTCAGTTCTGAAACATATTTAAAGAATTCATGGCATTCACCACATATTCTCAGGTTCTTGGTGATCATAATTGGTGCACTACCGACTGCATTGATCAATCCGAAAGCAATGGTAATCTTCTCACTGTGGCTCAAGATTCTCCGAATTATATCTTGTTCATATTCATCATGGAGACCCCAGCTAACATCTGGAACATATCCTCTTTTCCTAACAGAAAGTACCAAATCAGACAAATTTCTGTTGATTTTGTCAGTCTCGGGATGGGACCTGTCTCCAGCTGTAAATTGATGTAGTATATTTCTAACCAAAATCCAACTTTTTCTTTTTGATAAAAGGTAAACTTTTATTGATCATGTCAAAGCAACATCACAAAACAAGTCTCCTGTACTATTACACATTCAGTCAATGCAACATCACAAAACAAGTCTCCTGCACTATTATACATTCAGTCTAGCAGACTGTGATACCAATGCTTTCTAGGTATGCTTTTTCACCAGGCCTAAACTTTTTACAGCAACCAGCAATCTTCATTCTAACTTGCTGTTTAATCTTTTCCACAACCAATGGACATCTAACATATTTCCCCCATGCACCAGATGATTCCTTAACCACCATATATTATACACTATAGCTGCCAATGCACAAAACAAAACTCTCTGTTTGCAACTACTCTGTTTCCAAATGTAAGGAACTCTATTTTTCCATTGAATGATATTTCCTGGAATACGGCTGCCCTGGAGCCAACCTGTCACTTGTTTCAGGAGATCAGATGCATACCTGCATTGGAAGAAAAGATGACTAAGGCTTTCAGGTTGATTCTGACATAAACTGCAGCTGATGGGATGATCCACTATATTAAGAGCCTGTAATATTAAGAGCCTGTCCATAATCTGCTTCTAAGAGCTAGCCATAACACAAAGCAGTGTTTAGGCACATTATACTTACTCCATATAATTGCAGATTCCTGCACTTTCTGACCACTTCCTCTCAACCAATTGTAGCCTGGTTTGACTGAATACAAACCATTCTTTCCTGCAATCCAGCTGCCATTCTGATATCCACTTTTCAGTTTATCCTTTAGTCTCATCAACTTCTTCCAGTGCCAACTTGACCCTTGTGCTGGTTGGTAATGCCAGAATGACTTTCCTTTGATGTAGTATCCATGTGACCAATTAACCCAGAGATTATCTTTTTTCCTAGATAAATCCCATATTTGCTTTCCTAGGGCTGCCTGGTTCCACAGATGGGGCTCTTTGAAGTTGAGCCGTCCAAGAGACTTACGTTTGCAGACATCATCCCACGCAACTAATTGAACTGCTCTTCCATTCTCCTTCTTGCCCACAAAAACTCTACAAAGCCTTGCCACCTCTGTAATAAAGCTTTTGGGCAACATAAAGGTGGTTGACCAATGTGTGTGCATTGACAGTAAAACAGCATTAATCAATACAACTCTACCTGCATAGGATAAATGCCAAGAAAACCAGCATTTCATCCTAGCAGTGATTTTGTCTACCAACACACGACAATCCAGATTGCTCCATTTATTCGGGGAAATAGGAAGCCCTAGATACTGCATAGGAAAAGAACCCCAGCTGAAACCCGTAATTTCCTGAATTTCAGACCGAATTATACTATTCACCCCACCACAGAACACATTAGACTTTTGTAAATTGGCTTTCAAACCTGAGGTCTGGGAGAACTGCTGCAATACCTTCAGTACTCGCTTTACTGTTTGCGGATCTGCCTTACAAAGGATGATAAGGTCGTCCGCAAAGCTCAAGTTGGTGATTTGAAGGCTCTTACATTGAGGATGGAACAGGAAACCACCCTTAGCAACTTCAAGCTTGAACAACCGATTTTAAGTGTTCCATAACAAGGACAAAAAGCAAGGGGGATATAGGATCCCCTTGCCTTATGCCCCTTTTTCCTGCAAATGGACCTGTAAGATTTCCATTAAGACATAGGGAATAAGAACAAGTAGATATAAACTGCTTGATCCAGCCAATAAACTTCACTGGAAACCTATATTCTGTCAGAACTTCTTCAACAAAATCCCAGGCAACAGAGTCATATGCCTTCTGCATATCTACTTTCAACAGACATCTTGGAGAGATGTTTTTTCTTTGATAAAACTTCACCATCTCTTGCGTGAGCAGTATGTTGTGGAAAATTAACCTGCTCTCAACAAAGGCGCCTTGATTCTGATCTACCAGGCTTGGCAACACTTGCTTTAACCTATCACATACCATCTTCGACATACATTTGTAGATCGTATTGCAGCAGGAGATAGGTCGATACTCCGCTGCGTTCTGTGGGGACGGCTTCTTAGAGATCAACACTATAACAGTGGCATTCAGCTGCTTCAAAAGTTGGCCAGACTGAAAAAACTCCAAAATAGCTTCACTGACATCCTTACCAACAATGTGCAACGATTTCTTATAAAAACCACTTGTAAACCCGTCTGGCCTTGGACTCTTCACTTCCCCGATTGCAAACATTTCTTTTTTTCACATCTTCGGGACCAAAATCTTTGATAAGTCTCATTTGTTGGTCAGCTGTGAGGACTGGCCCCTGCAAGCAGGCTTCGTTGTTTATAGAACTTCTCTGAGTTGTCTGACCTAATAAATTCTGATAAAAATCTATGAAATGACGCTCCACAGAACTCCAGTCATCCACCAACTGTCCTTCCTCATTCATATAACAGATGATACGATTCATTTTCTTCTTCTTTTTTAGCACAGCATGAAAATATGCCGTGTTCATATCTCCTTGCTGAATCCATGCTTCCTTTGTTTTTTGCTGCCAAAAGTTGAACGCTGCTTTGCTAATGTCTGCATATTTATTCAGAAGTTCCTTTTCTTTTAGCTGCAGCTCAATATCTTGTGGCTGTTGTTGTAAGTCCAACTGTATTCTGTCCAGTTCCGCTTTACAAGTCTGAACCTGACTGTCTATATTGGCATATCTCGTTCTGTTAAGCTGTTTTAATTCCGGCTTCAAATTCTGGTGTCTCTTCACAACTTGGAATTGTTTCGTACCCGTAACTCTCTTCCTCCAAATTCTATGAATTAGGTCCTGATATCCATCTGCAGCAGTCCACATGTTATAAAATCTGAAGCACTTGTTGCTATTTCTAACATGTTGTTGTTGCCATTGCACTAACATAGGACAGTGATCTGACAATCCTTCAGGAAGAACTGTCACAAAACTATCTTCATAATGCTCTAACCAGTCACCATTAACTAGTACCCAGCTAACCTGGCATATATTCTGTTCTGACCCAACTGTCTATTGTTCCATGTGAAGAATCGCCCAACAGTCATAAGATGAGTAAGTTGGCACTTGGCAGTCATCAATTGCCATGCCAAATGCCTCAACATCATTGCTGGTCAAAATCCAACTTTTGCCCGGAGGTATTATAAAATTTTTATTCTCCAATACCCTCAATTTGTTTACCTCTGCCCAATGGCCAGCCGCGGCATAAACATGTGAGAGTAGAATGTAGTTTCCAGCATTTGTAGGTTCCAGCTCAACCAGTTTCTCAAATTTTTTTTTTTTTTTTGGCAAACCTAGTCTCTTTATATACTCAACAGCCACCAAGAAGAGCCCTCCAGACGCAAGCATCTGGAGCAATAGGCATTGAATTGATAAAACACATAGCTTCATTAAGACACTCACATCGTGATAACAAATCAACTACACAAGCGTAGTGTACAAGCTTCGGGGTTGTGTTAAACTCCTGAACCGTGGAGTTGTAAAGCTGCAACCCTTTTTCTACCAAACTGGAATGGCTGCAAGCAGATAAAACAGAAACAAAAGTAACACCTGTAGGCATGAATCCTTCTTCTAACATCTGTGAGAAGGCAATAATGGGATCATGTCCTCGGCCATGCATGCCGTAACCAGCTATTATTGCATTCCATGATACAGAATGCTTCTTTGTTAAGGAATGAAATGCATGTTCTGCATATTTCAGACATCCACAACTTGTATACAAGGTTATAAGAGCGTTCATCATAGGTAAAAGAAAACCAAGTGCTCAACAGATAAGGCATGTAAGCAAAGGCTTTGAGGAAGATTTGCCAATTCTGTGCATGCAGCAAGTGCACTTACTATTGTTGATGAATTAGGTTCCACATTTAAAATCATATGGGGGAAAAGTAATAAAGCCTTATGAGCTTGAGAGTGCATCTACTAAACGCAGTTCTGCACACCCAAACCATGCTTCATTACTGACTGATGAAGTTGGACTCCCAACCTAAAAGCACCCAGCTCTATACAAGCCCGAATAAGAATTAAAACTGTAACATCATCATATTTTATCCCCTCATTCAGCATTCCAATGAAAATCTCCACGGTTTTCAGATTTTCACCTGCATCAAGGTGTCTACTAATCATTGTATTCCGGCAAACAATGTTTCTTGAGTCCAATAATCGGGTACCTTCAAAACGATTCAAACCGAATCCTGAAATAAAGATTATTAAAGCACTTCTGACATGATCATTCCTCTCCATAAGTCCATTTCTTAAGCAACACCCCTGCAATTCCTGCCCCAAGCTGAAGCCCCGACATCTCTCCACACGCACTAAGCAAGGAGACAATTGTCCTCGAATTAGGCCCTCAAATTTTCTCCTTGCATCTCCTTAAATAAGAAAAATGCTTCTTCATACCCTGAGCACTCGACGACCCCAGAAATCATAGCATTCCAAGCAACAACATCCCTTTCGAGCATTTTCTCAAACGCGTCCCAGGCGACGTCCAAACTAACCACAGTTACATTAGAAAACCAAAACGCTGGTTGTCACAGGAATATTACCCATCAAATGCGACTTCGATACAACATTGTGTATCTCCTTCCCTCTCTGAAGGGATTGTAGATTCGCGCAGGCCTTGAAAATGAGGGGCAATGTTGTATAATCGGGCGAAACACCCCAAGATTTCCATGTGGGCGTATGTCGTGAGAACCGCATTGTCATTTTTCAACTTTGGTTGACGTTTTATGATCGAGTTCCGGTGTATTGAGTCGTGGGTTTGAATTTGGTTTGCCAAAGATGGGAGTTGGTTTTAGTGTAGGAATATAAGTGCCTCCATTTGTTTGAAAAAACGGTTGATGTTTTGGCGCGAAAGGATAAAGCCCTTATTACAACAACGGCAAAATAATTTTTTTTTTTTTTTTAAAAAAACAGAAAATACACACTACGCATACATTTAGTATCTGAAATTATTGTTTTGACTAATCCAACTTGGAGTTGACGAGTCTTTTTGAAAACTAAAATTCTCCCAATAAGTATCTAAAGTTTATTACATACTTATTTTATTATTCGAAATCGGATTATAGTTAAATTAATCTAATACATTTACTCTCTTCATCCCATAATTATTGTCCAGTTTGGATTTTTATTTTTAGTCTAAATTGTACTAAAAATGAAATCTGAAACTGGACAATAATTCTGGGACGGAGGGAGTATCACTTATATAGCTAGACCAAGTGCTCGTTGATAAAACTAATCTACTATTGACTAGATGGAATTTCTAATTCAGCCAAATAAAAAAAAAGAAAAAAAAAAAGGTGAATCTGTTGCTAGTGATCGATGCAGAACATTGAAAAACAGTGAAGCGTATCCTCCTCTTCCCAAGGTCAGTTCATTATTAATTTACTGTCGTCAGGACTCATGAGTACTTGCTCCAAATTTATCCTTTTCTTTTCTTTTCTTTTTTTTTGGAATTCCAACATTTATCTTGAATCACAATATATCAAAATCAAAGTCCCTCATCGAATTTGGCACTTACACCATTCAGTCATAGACAACTGAAATTTGGCATAAATTTCAGAATCCAGAAATAGCAGCATTGGGGTTATCTGCAACCAGATTCTCTTGTAACAAAGTTGTAAGGTTTTTTTTTATCAGTGACAGAAGTATAGGGTTTTCACGGAGATAGTTGTTAATAACATTAAAACATTTGAAGTAGGTGCAAAATTTAGTTAAATAATAATATGTCTTCTCCTACTAATAAAAATTAATATACCGCTTACTAATTAAAAAAAAAAAATGGAGGCGTGCGACCACCTCCATGTCGAAATTCCAAAACTCGTAAAAGAAAAGGTCAAACTCAAACAGAAGCGTGCGTACTTTAATTCATAAATTTGCCGCTTCTATATGAACCAATTAGTTAATGAACAATGCACCGAGGCCTCAAAACCCTTTGATAGGATCGAATTTCAAATGAAAATGTAACTCTATTAATGGTTCTTCCCACCACAAGTGGCTCAAGTGATAATGAAACTACAGATTTTTGTGTGCACTAAAAAAATTAAAATGATATTCTGAATTAGCACATTACCACTTACCCCTGTACATGAAATCATGTTTCAACCAGAGTTTGACTGGTGGATGCGAAATAGTCCAAAATTAAAATTATTTTTCAATCTCTACCATCTAAATCTAATCCCGATCCAATTCCACTTTAACAACTCTGTAATCTCATACAATCGTTCATGTATTTTGATCCAACAATTAAACCTTGACTATAATGCTTAGATTATGTTTTGTTACTACAATCTTTTGCTAATTTTGTTACTACAATCTTTTGCTAACTCCAATCTTCCACGCTAACGTGAAGTCCAAAACAAATCCCACAATTCGATATATGTGATTGTGCAAAACCCTAACCTGATAGTGAAACAAGCTTCTTTGATAACACAGGTTCAAATCTAGGACGCCTTTCGTCTCATAATTATTGTCCACTTTGAGTTTTCATTTCTAGTTCAAGTTGTCTAAAAATAAAATTTCAAACTGGACAATAATAATTTTGGGACAGAAGGAGTATATATTTGGTAGGGTTAAGATATATACTAACCAAAGAATCCCTCTTACAATGCACAATGCACCGGGCTAGTATGAGGATTAACAGATTCCCCGTATCCATTTTAATACAATGGGAATCCGGATTATATCTAGGAACAAAAATAGATACCGAAAAAGTAAAATATCCAAGAAGAATCATTTTGGTACCAAAGAAGTATTTTAGTAAAAATACTTTTGTCAACAATGAAGAAAGTAAACAAATATCAAGTCCCCATTTTCTTTGGGGGGAGGAAACTCTATGAAAAGAAATGTATATGAAAAAAAGTGAATGAAAATCCACCTTTTCAAGTGATACTGGTAAATGTATCCTTTCTCGACACAAAGGACGGCACAAAAACTCTAACATCCTTTCTATCCCAGACAGAATTCAATCTGCGAGCAAAGTCCTCAACCTCCCTGTCCAGTTCTTCCTTCTGAGCAGGATCTAATTCGTCGTCCGTATAATCATCATCAAATTCAAACTCAGGAAAATGCATAACAGATTTAGAATCTTCACACACTGGATCTTTGCTGTTGTCATTCACATTTTTCATCCTATCTTTGGGTCTCTTCCGGTTTTTCTTCTTCTTCTTTGACATCTTCTTATCACCCTTATTATTATTAGAATCACCATCTCCTCCACCATTTATAAAGGACAACAGTTCATCAACCGAGCGTTCATCGGTCGGCCGCGGAGGCTGCCCTAATTCACCTTCAACCTCTTCATTCACATTTTTCTGTTTTTTCCTCTCCTCTAACACTTTCCTCTTTCTAGCAAACAACCGATTCAGAAGCCTAATATGAGGGCAATTAGTCCGGTTTGGTATCGGTTCCAGCTTCTCCTCCACCGTGATTAGTTTATCGGGCAAATTCAAGGCCTCCCGCATCTCTTCCGCACTTTTCCCTTCAATATTTCTCGCTATAGCCGTCGTCGTAAGGTCCACCAGGGGCTTCAGTTGGAGACTATCGGCGGCGCAGGCCAATTCGCACAGCGTCGCCGGGCATGACGAATTGGCGAGCTTCTTGTCGTAGGCTCTCCGGTCCTTGTTACACCGGCCGGGAACTTGATGGAACCGGCAGTAATCCAGTATCAACTCTAAGGAAGCGGCGGTGACTTGATGGGGAAGTGATATGGCATCATTTTTGGTTGAGCCTTTTCCTCGAACAACTTGTGGGCTCAGTATCGGACAAATCATGGCGAATTCTTCCTCCACTTGATGGATTGAGTCGTCGGCGGTTTGGACCCAAACCGGCGAATTCGTCTTCATCCTCATCTTCATCTTTTGGATAACCGCCTTTTAGGTTTTCTGCTTTACGATACCACGGTAGAATGGCCGACCAAAAAGCTTTTATGGAGGTGTAGAATACTTAGACAGACTGGGGAGAAAGTGCAGAGAAGAGAGATTAGGGTTTTCGGTAACGGGACTGCATAAATCATAAATCACTTATATTTATTTCGATAAATTAAGAATAATTATAATTAGCCTTTTTAACCCATGTAGTAGTATGGGTTCCAATAGCAATAATTTTTCTTTTGTATGTTCGATCATATCTAAATCAATTAATTACAAACTTTATCAATAGGAGGATTCAAAAATATTATTATCTCTATCCCAAAAAGATAGTTACCAAATTGAGTTTTTGAATTTGTATTTTTTTTAGTATAAATTTTAAAACTGAATGTGGACTATTTTTTGGGGACTGTTTTTAGTATTCCATCAAAATTATAGTCTTATGCAATTATTCAACATGTATTTACATTGTTTGAATTTTTTTTGTTTTGTTTTAGTCATATGGTTTAATTATTTTTGTTTTGGTTGAAAAGATTTAATAATTACATAATATGATTTACAGGATCCCACTGATCTTTATTTGTCATTTTTTAAAATTTTTTTTTACCTAATTTCATGCAAAATGTTCCGGAATATTACTCTTTTAATATATAGGATTAAACCATATTATTTTTATGAGAAATTCTAGAGTCCAGTTGTTAGTTTTTGACTGAACCATTCACTTAAAATCTAGCAAATTAAAATATGACATATCACACTTAGCATAGTGTGAGAAACTCTTAACAAATCCAGAATAATGCTTTGACCGGGTGAGTAGGTAATTTTTTTTTCGGCCAATATCATATTATTTACCTTTTCCGTTTCTGCTTGCAATATTTTTTATTAGAAAAATTCAATCTCCTCCTTCATTTATACCATGGACGGCGTCAGTGAGTTTCAAATATTACAAGAAAAAAGAGATTTTAGCACCCATCACCGTGCCCTCTAGCGGCTAATAAAAGTTTGGATTGCACAAACTATCTCTATGTTAATTATACAACCTAGAAATGATCTAACTTTTATAATTACATTAACTTTTATAATTACATTAACTTTTTTTAATAAATTTCAGACTTGTCAGCCATGAATGCACATATTTCCTCAAATGCGTCCTCACTTCAATAATTGCTTTTTACTTAAGCCATTCCTTCATTTGGTTTTCTTTTTGTATTTACCACAAAATTTATTTGAGAAGAGTGCTTCAGATTTAAGATCTATGTATGAATTTTGAAATAGAAATTGATATCTCGTACCAATCTTTAATTGGGAATCACTGCTAGATTCTAGTATTAAGAAGTGTTTCTACGAGTTCTAAATTGAGAGAAAGAGGTTTTTCTTTTTTTCGGCCAGAACACTATCTCCAGGGCCAAATATTATTTTGGTTGTCGTGGTGTTGTTGATGAAAAAAAAAACAGAGAATAGATTGTAAGGATCCCTAGATTATATGGGTAGTATTGGGAATTAGAATGACAATTGCAGAATCTAGCCTAGTTTTCATCAGAATTAAAGATATAAATCTACAGAGGAAAGGGAGTTGTTAAGGTTGGGTAAAATTATTATTTTTATCAAGTAAAGAAAATTTTCCTTATTAATGCAATTTGGTTGATAGGTTGCAGGTCACATTGAAATAATCAGGTGCAATTGGTAGTACCTTTTTACAATACACCTTTGTTTTAATCTAATAGTTGTTCATTATTCCTCATCATCCAACGGTTATTAAGTTTGGTTGAACCATTCAGTCGACTGGATTGTAACCGCTCCCATTTTTTTAAAAAGCAAATGATAATATAGTTTGTGTCTAGGAGTTTGTGTCTTTCCTAGACATTTTACCCCTTTCCTTGAGGGGGGAAAAAAATTAGGTCTCTCTTTGTTGTGGTGCAAAACATGCAACTATTAGGTTTGTAACTTTGTATCAGGTTTGTGTCAAAAGGCTTGTTTTAATTCCTTCACGCAATTACATGTGAACGAACTAGAAACAAAAGTTCTTGTTATTGGAGAAATGATATAGGGTCCTCGTTAATGAATACTTAGTTTAGTTGGTTTCCTGAAGTTTTAGATAATTGTGTAACAAAATGAACATATTGTCTAATCAGTTTTTTTCTTTGTTTTAAAATGATTATTTTGTTTGAATTTTTACATTTAGTTCTAAAAATAAAAATTTAAACTGGACAATTATTTACAGCGGATGGAATTATTATGTAGAAATTTGGATAGACCGTTGAAAGTTGCAGACATGCCACCAGTCTTTTACGTCAAAAAGTTTTACAAGTTAGAACAAACATTATCTAAAGGGGGAAGTAATTCTGAAGCGCATTGGCTTCATTTCTATACATTCTCAATTGAACAATTGATCTAATGAACTCTGTTTCCAATGGTACGCTTTACAAAGTCCATTTGGTTGCGTCAAAGTATTCCCTCTATTTTTAAAAAAATAGTCCACATTGACTTTTGAAATTTTTACTAATTTTAAAATTAATCTTAACTGAACGTGGATTATTTTTCTGGGACGGAGGGAGTAGTAGTTAGGGATAATGGTAGTTCATGTTGACTAGCCTTCCTTCCGACTTCACAGAAACTCTGCCCAAGTGATTTTGTTTTCTCCCGAATTTATGAAACTCTGATGACGACAATATCCCCTTTGTAGATTAGTTCTATCTTGAAGAGCTTCAACCATCAGATCTTCCAATGAAAACTGACTGCTCAGCTTTTTTAAATTTGCTGCTTACAAAACCATCCTTTGCTCATTCAACTGTTCCAACTGCCTGCAGGAAAGCTAGTCATCTAATTCTGTAGGGAAGGAGCAAAATGCAAGAAAGATGGAGTCTTGAGTAAAAAAAGACCAAACCTGCCTACTTTGGCAGATTGTCTTTTCATGGGTATTCTGCGGCGACATTTGAATTCCTGCAAATCAGCATTATTGATCTGACAAGATTTGAGGGCTCAAATTCATTTTCTATCATGTGGCATCAGGGAAATCCAAGAGTGAACTCCAAGGATTCCAAGTAACTATCCATAAACATCAGAACAAGAAACAAAACTGTGTGCGCGTGTGTGAAACTGTGTGTGGGGCAGAAGGGGGAGGGGGGCATAAAGCCAGCAATTAGGTGACCAACATTTGTCAAGTTTTTGTAACACGAGGCTTTGCAAAAGAGCTCAGACAACTCAGTAAAGTGAAACTTCCAATGCTACTCGTAAATACTTTACTATATATAATTATTTCACTCTTTTTTCTTGGGTAAAATATAAAATTTTATTGCTTCACAAATCTGATGGATCTTTACAGCTTTCTTACTGATCAACATGGATTGACAAAGCATAAGGAAGATTCCCTAGTGTTTTCAAATATCGAATGGCGCCATTACTACCTTTCCTTCAATGAAACTGAATTCTGCCTTTTTGTTCTTTCCAAATTTTCTTTCGTTTCTTTCTATACATATGTGGTAGACTGCTACTGTAATGCAAGCAAACAAAAGCCTTTCTACTCTGCTGTATCTCCATATCAGCATAATTTTTGTAGTACTACTCCTGAAACAATCCAGCTTTATTTTTACTTGCAGCCAATCCATTATCCCTTGAATCAGCTCCAGCGCACATCCACATTTAAAGAACAGGTGGTCAACATCTTCTTTATTCTCTGCACATAGTTCACATCTTATCCCTCCTTGTGACAATTGCATTTTTTCTAGCCTCTCCTGTGTTAGCAGTTGATCTTTACAAGTTAACCCAGCAGATGAAGCTGTGTTTGGGGATGAAATATGGACTCCCGATTATCAGTGCTTCTCTATGTTTCCCCTTTTCTCCTCTCATCCATCGGTAACCTCCTTTTGTTGTATAGTTTTTCTACCCATCTCCTCTCAAAATTCCATCCTGCATACCATTTTTAAGAAGGTTCTATAAGCTTATTAACTTCTTCCGATGCCAACTGCTCAGTTCTAGAAGAGGTATCAATACTTAGTTACTTACCAATGACCATCAACCTTATATTTCTAAAGGTTACTTCTAAACCAAAACCAATGACTAAAGTTCAACTAGCATCAAGGATATTGCTCGGCGAAGGTCTCTGTCCTAGTATTCAAGCCAGATAAATGAAGCAAATAAGCTCAGACTATACTCCTATGCTGCAACCAACTTCAATGGCAAGGATTTTTGCATAATCAATTTTCCTCAACAAGCATATGTAGTGAAAGCTGTGAAAAGGTTTGAAAAGATGTACCCAAATGGGGTAGATAGATATCATTCTGCTCACACCTCGGGTTTAGATAAACTTGGATGCTCGAGGTACAGTTGCACCCCAAGCGGCTCACTGTTCATAGACTTGATCGGGGTTATCAATGGTGGCTGCTGCCACTGCTTCGTCTCAGTAGGAATCCACATCTCAGCATCTTTGCTTTTACCAGTTTCAGGTAAAGCACGGAAGTAAGAAGTTATCTCCCACCTGCAACCTACAGAAAAGAAAATGTTCATTAAGAATTCAATTATCAGCCATACATTAACTGGAAGCTAATTGCACAATGTCAAACCAATGAACAAGAACAACAAAAAGAGGGCAAGCCAGTTGTACAAAAACTTATGTGGATCATATGGTGAAAGATCAAGCCATTGAGGCATAATCTACACAGCCAAATGAGCAAACTCTCAAATAATATCGTAATGTGCGACTGACACCTTCCAATTTCTATTTGCTTCTAACTAATGCTTCCTCGCTTAGACTAAATATCAAATATTAATCTCCTGGAAGCCAGAAAGAGGAAATCTTACCTTTGGGAAGAGTTTTAGTAAGAGATTCTGACACAGGCAGCTTAATCAAGAATGATCTGAGAGCAAACTCCAGATTGGCTTCTTCCACCTTTGAACCATATGAAAGGTTCAAATTAACCTTGAACACAAATCTCTCCATCGGTTCATTCTGATCATTAAAGAAAATAATCACAACCCTCTCCACCAATCCCTGCATGATGAATTGCAAACTTCCAAGTTCATTTCAGCTGGCAAAATCAATCACAGTAATTTTTCTGCTTTCTACAGCTCAATACTGTATCTGTATGCTACTACATATATCTCTCATGTAAACAGACAAACTCTCGTATGAAGTGCTAAAGTATTTCGTAGCAACCTAAGGCGAAAAATTAGTTTACAGTAGCAAAGAAGTATTAAAGTTAAGATCCCAACCTTTTTAATGAAAGGGAGAAGTCCATTGACAGAAGACTGTATATAGTCCCGGAGTTGAGGATGTCTGGCTTTGTGAACTACGACATTCATGTATCGCCGCCTCTCAAAAGCCCCTAAAGCAAAATCATTCCTATTACCAACCAGCAGATGTACACAAATATATGTATTCAATAAAAGGAGGCACATTGTGTACATGAAATCATGTCATAACTGTTTTACCATTTGGGTACACTCCTTTGAGGAACACTATCGATGTTATAGCAACCTCCAAAAATTCTACCAATATCCGTGCCGTTTCCCCTGCAAATCCACATAAGATCAATGAAAAAAAGTACACACATTACTGCATATAGGAAGGGAGAATAAGTAAAAAAAAAAAAAAAAAAGGAAGGGAGAATAACTCTGCTTCATGGAAAAAAAGCTGGGACAATAATACGCATCAAACACCAACCTTGGGGAGTTTGATTATCATTATGATCCATAAAAATAACACCTGCCCTACAACAAACAGGTTTCAGGCAATTTATCAGTTCTGAAATTAACAGCTAGAATATGTCATTCTCCAATTAGAGAAGAATTTAAGTTAAAAACAGTTCTGAAAATGGTACTATATGGGAGCCCTAAACAAAGAGGGCCCTAAACTTGAAATCAAAATCTTCAAACACATTGGAATAAGGATAGAAACACAAATTCGGGGAAAAAAATCTCCCAGAAAAGTATCTACAATTGGAATTAGCATATGCTTAAAGAGTAGGAATAATCGAGAAAATAAATTCAAAGATTTGATTGAAAACCAAACTTACAGCTGAAGCTGGAGGATCGACAAACGATGATTCTTGGAAGCGGGAAATACAGAGTTACTGGAGCCTGGAAATGAACTAGGGCACACGGTTACCAAAACGACACGAACCAAAATCCTTCAAACTACATTTTTCCCCACAAGTTTTAGCCAAATTTACCGTATGTCCCCGAGAGTTTGCAATACAACCATACAATTCCTAGACTCCTGATAACCTACCATATATCCCTTAATATGCCCACATTTTTAATAATTTTGTGCGAACAGCTGAAAACGGGATCCAGTCCTCTATGACACTTTTTTGTTACACTTCTTATTACATATTTTAATTATTACTATTATTAATTTTATAGTGTTTGTTGATATGTCTACTATCGGATCATATTATCATTCCAGATTATTTTCAATGTTGATAATTTACTTTTTCTTTTTTTTTTTTCTGATCAAAATGTGAATCTGTATTACCAAATCAAACTTTTCTAAGTCACTTTACATTTTAACAGTGTAACGAGCACCTCACCGGTTTAATCCAAGACGGAGGCACTAATTGAGACGTCCACCTAGCTCGCGCCTGGCTTAACTCTCATTAAACCACTATCTTAAAATTCTATTAACGAACCTGGAAATTTCTTAAATAAAACTCAAACTTTAATTCATTAAACAGAGGAAATTCAATCCTGGTTTAAACATTACAGACGTACTCTAGTCTTTGAGGCGTACAAACTGGCAATACTCTTTCTCACTGCAAAATTCAGCTACTATTCAAAAGCTACCACAAACCAAATTACAGAGGATAATAATACATAAGTGGCTGTCGCACAATCCATGTACAATCTGCTATGTACAATACCCTCCATGCACTCAATGCCCTTGAGAGACATTCTCAGCGCAAAACAGAGCACTAACTACGATCCCGGGAAGGGAACAATAATATAGATATATATAGAGTGAGCTCCATGCTCAGTGAGGTCCCCAAAATACTACTAAAAATTTTTAAACAAATCATTTCAAAACAAAATACAATTCAGTAAGACAGTTCCATCACAAACAAGCATAATATTCACATTTCACATTGCAAAGCATTTAACAATTTCCGTTTAAACATTAGAACTTTCATTTGGGTGGATACGGGGAATCATAGTAAGGAGCCATTAAGCGCCTATGTGGCACAAAAACGACTTCCAAACCAGACTCACCTCTTACCATTGGCATTGTCATTCCACTCGCTTCATTGCACTGCAGCATTACTCTTTTGTAGCCAACATTAGCGGCCACCGTTACACCTTGTATCCCCTGTGGCCAACACTAGCGCCACCACTAGATACTCATGAGTACCACATTCACTGGCCTAGGTGACTAACCTTAACATCCAAGCCCATGCCGGCATGCAAGGCTTCGCACAAACCAAGGCAATGGGCCAGGCTTCGAGCAACGTTAGTCACCCGAGCAACAAACACACATTGGCATTCAATCATTCATTTCATTAATATTTCATTTCATTAGAGTGATAAATTACACCCGTGATATCATTTCCATTAAAACATTTAACACATTAGCATTAATCAAATTAGCACATACTCGCATACATTACTGTCTATCACATTATCACGTAAATCACTCATATCACTCTGTCACATTGACACATAATCACAGCCAGGATATTAATCACTGTTAAACATTCACGAACATAAGCAAAGAATTCAGAGCGATGAAGTACACTCTTGAACCACATAATAGCATGCATTTGTACATTTTAATAAATCTTAAAACGTGCTTATGTGAGGTGGAGTGTCATTTGAAAATAGTTCCGGCCCCAGTTTTGAAAATACTTTAAAAAATAGTGAGGATGACTCACAAGTATTATAAGGAAGCTCGTCTTCCTCGTACGCTTGATCCACAGATTAAATACAACAACAATATAAGAATTATACATTTTAGCTTCTAATTTCTTTTTCTAAACCAACTAAAGACTCAAGAGAAAGCTAAACTAAGGCTCTGTTTGATAATCACTTAATATAATAACTTAATTTATTTAAGTACTTAATGAAATTAAGTGTGTTTGATAATTACTACTAAAAAGTCTTAATGAATTAAGTTCTGAACCAATTAAGTACTTATAAATTAAGTGCGTTTGATAACTAAAATTTCACTGTCTGAATTAATTAAGTGCGTCTGAATGGCCAGTTCAATTGTGAGCCAGAAAATAAGTGATAGACCTACCACTTATCACTTATCACTTAATTTCTGTGATGACTCTTTTTTTTTCTTTTTTTTTCTTTTTTTCCCTCGTCTTTATTTTGTCGCTTATTTTTACATTTTTTTTAAAATTTTATTTTCTTAAGATAAATTAATTAAGAGTGCTTAAAGTTGAATTTATTTTATGAGTATAAAAGATCTTAAATTTTCAAACTCAAATTAAACTAATTTTAATACATGAAATTTGCTAAATAACAAGGTATACACATATATGTAATAATCTAAATTTAATTATATATTGATTATTTACCAAGTATAACATTTATTTTTATTATATATACCAAAAACTTATTTTAAAATTATTATTTTATTATTTAGAACAAAATATTAGTTATTTTTCTATTTAAAAGAATTTTGTTTATAATTTATTTTTAATATAATTAAAATTTTAAATAACTTTCAGACATGAGTATTCAGATTCAGTTTTCAAACTTCAGACTTTAGTCTTCAGACATCATGTTCAGACGTTTTTATCAAACAATGTAAATTCAGTCTTCAGACTTCAGACTTCATTGTTAAGTGTTAAGTGTTCAGATTCAGACTTTAGTGATTATCAAACGGAGCCTAAGTCTTAGTTTCATTTCCTTAAAAGTTTCAAAGCCCCAGAGTCACTACATCAAGCTACCAACCAACACACACCTTCACGTTTCTTTCTTTTCTTTAAAAATCCAGGAACCAAACTCAAAACTCCTCGGCTCCCTTTCTTTTCATTCTCTTTTATAAATTAAATCAGCAAGTAACAGCAAAACAGAATGATTATCAAACACAAAACAGAAGCATCATAGTTATGGCATCCATTCCATACTATTTAGTTAAAAACCGGCAACAACCATGACAAAAGAACCCAACGTTTTCACCACTATCCCCCTTCAGCTACTGCTTTTAAATAGAGGAAAATGAACTGGAGAGTAAACGACAAGAGCAGCAACCAACAACCTTAACACCTTGACATGCAAATCAATCATTTTAATGAAAAACAATACAAATAAGAACAACTAACATTCCTCTTTCTTTTCCTTTTATAGTCAGGCCATAAGCCTTGATTCCCAAACATTTTTATCTCATTAAAGTCAACAGTAAATGACAAAATCAGAATCAACAATAATAGACATCAAATTGGCAGCAAAATCACGGAACCGAAATTAACCCAACAGTAACTCCCTTTCTTTCCCTTCTATATTCAGGCCATAAGCCTTAATCTTCCATGCACTTTATTTTATTAGATTCAGCAAGGTGTTGCAACTGTTCATCTTCCTGTTGACAGAGACAACATTTAGGATCATCAACCTGGACATGATGTCTGATCAATTAATCTGTCATTTGTCCACAACCTGCCCTTCCAGAAGACCCATGAATGTTTAGGGACGTTCAATTTTGACCAGATCCACTTACTCTCTTGAACCTTCTCATGCTGTTCCATTTGCTTTTTCTATCCATATTATATTTTAAATTAATTTTTCATATATTTTATTGGAATTTTAACAACCAGAATCAAAATAAATAAACTACAACTTGGAAAAAGTATGTTATTAGTTCGAAAATATATCACTGTGAAAATGATAATAAATGATATTCACTCTGTCCGAAAATTATTGTCCACTTTCAATTTTCACTTAATTTATACTAAAAATAAAAACCCAAACTAGAGAATAATTTTTGGACATAAGGAGTACCAAATATCACAACAGAAAATAAAATTTAAACAAAATCATTAGATTGTGTCACGAGAAAATAACTCAGAGGAACCATTGTCTCTCAGAGCATATCCTTCAACATATCCAAATTTATTTTTCTAACAATTACTCATATCTATTTTTCTGTACTATTGGCAAAAACTGACAATTAACTTCTACACCAAATAATGTTAACCCTCATTTAGCAAATATATAATAGTATTATTATAAATATAGTATTATTCACGTACGTTACACAGAATTTAAATATTATTGTGTTTAAATTCAAAATATTATTAATTTTATGTGAAAGAATTCACACGATCACTTTCAAGATATAAATTAATATCATTGGCAACTGTAGCTTGTGATTTTACAGTAAAATTCTCTAATTAAAAATGATCTATAAATTAATAAATTCTATTAAACAATAAATATTTCTGGTTCTCAAGTCTTGGAACTTGGACCCAAAAAGGAAAAAATTCGATAAAAAACATAAAAAAAAATTTAGAAATCCTTACATAAATACAGGATCATCAATTCCACAAAACAATAATTTTCTAAACTATCAAGAAAAAAGAGAAGATTTAGTAAAGTGAGAAGCTAATGTTGTTTTTCCCTTAAAATTTAGAGTGATGATTTTGCCAAAATAATTTTTAGCATCCAAAACAAATTTAAAATAAAAAGACACAATTACCCCAATCTTAAAGAATGTCAATACATCAAAATCTTTCACCTATATCCTACCCTCCTCGAATCCACAGCCATCAGCTACCGCAGAAAATGATGAGGCGTAAAAAAGTTGTCATAGTTCTCACCATTATCCCATGGATTTCATGGCATTTTTTATCCCACCTTCAAGAAATAACTGTACCACAGTTTTTTGTTTCTCTTTGAAAATTCTTTTCCTATTTTATTTCTATTGAGGGCATCAATTTTAGCTTTAAAGAGATTCGAATAAATTCTTGTAATTTTTGGATCAAAAAACGCCTCAAAAAACCTTGGAAGAGGAAAATTATTACCGACTCAAACCCTTTCATGCAAAACAAACAATATTTAACATAATTATGAACATCTTGGTGTAACTATTTTTATCAAGCCAATAAAATTTTCTTCTCATTTGCAAAATCAGGGATTGTAGTTTTTTTTCGTCTGCAAAATCGACATGCTATTTCTTTATCCCCTTTCTTTGCCAAGTAATTAATATTTAATTAGATGGGTTTTAAGGTTTTAAAGGAAGTTGGGAACCACGGTAGAATTCTATTGACACATCTATAACTTTCTCAACTAGGGTTCCAAAAAATAAATCATCTTATTCAAATTTGGAACTTCAAGCAAGGCTAAGTAAGAAATATAAAAGCAAATCCGAAATGGTACTTTAGAAGCCTTCATTCATCATTGTCAGGCATGAAGAAATTCGATTGCGGCGGAGGAGGGCTGTGATTTTGGGGAAGGTTGGCCAAAGGTGAAAGATTTTGATGATGGTAATTGTGTCTGTTTACTTCAAATTTGTTTTGGATGCTAAAAATTATTTTGACAGAATCATTACCCTGAAATTTATATCTGGAAAAAAGTCTCTTTTTTATTTTTTTCATTGCATTTAAAACATTTGAGTTACTTTCTCGAGTAGGATAATTTTCTATTCTCATAGATTTGGAAAAGACACATTAATAACTAGATGTTATACCCGGACGATGTGCATGGTAGATTATAATATTTTTATAAATTACTTATAAAATATTATAAAAATATCAAATGTTTTTTGAAACAATAATCGTCAAAATTCTGAATTAATAAATGTCATCTTATTAACATAAATGGTATCGTGGATTAACCTCAGGATGAATTAACATAAATGTTATCTTAACATAAATGACATGATAAATGACATGATAAATGAATTAGCAGTCAAATTATGGATTATGCATAAACCAAAATATACGAAATACTTCTGGTGCAATCTTATTGAACCTCAAGTTGTATATCAACTGTGTTGATTCATCATTTTACGATAAAATATAGATAGATTGTTTTCAATGAGACCCCTCAGCATGGAAAATAGGAGGACCATGAAACATTATCAAATTACAATTTTTAAAACAATTAATAAAAATAATACATAGTTAAATGTAAGTAACAGATCAAGATTGGCTAAAATTATCACCATGAATATGCATTTGAAGATCATTGCTACGGAGATATGTTGAACCACAACATGCAAACGTTGAAGAAATAAGTTATAAGATTGAGACCCCAAAATAATATCTATACTAATGAAAACATATTCGGAAGAAAAATAATATTTCAGATTGAAATTTCTATTCCTAGCCAATTGCACTTTATAAGCACTTCTTATATATAAATTATAATTGTATTTGTAGAGATCGATGCAATTGGAGTAATTTTAGGCATATATTTTTAAATTTGGTATGTTTTTATATAATTATTGGAATTAGATGAATAACGAATGTGGATGTCATGTGAACCTTTATTCATGCATTAAACACAAATTAAATACGTAAATGTGGTATTAAAAGTGCGATTTCGTATTTTTTTTTTTACCAAATTTATGCAAATAATTATGTCATGTATGCTCAATATATGGGTTACCACATTTGGGAGAGGATGTGTATTTTAATGTTAATTACGTACACCCAAAATATAGGATTGGGTTATAATGTTTTACCTTAATTCTTGGATACGAGGTCAATAGTTATTGAGTGTATTTAATGTTGATAAATTAAGATAATTATTGTAGTGAATGTGCTATAGTATGCTATAACTAATATTTTCTAGCTAGGGACTATTAGCCAAATTTTGAAACTTTTTTTGACCTAAATTTTGTGAAAATGCTATGTTGGATTTTTTCCTATGTGGTACTCTAGAAATCACTTTTGTTTTCTCTCTCTAGTTTTTCTCTTAGTATAATATATATATATATAATATAGATTATTAGTTTATATTAATAAGTAAAAAAATAGTAATTTGTAGATAAATAGTTAATATTTCTGAATGACTAAAATTTTGGGTCCTGCTGGTATTAATTTTATGAGTTTTTATTGCATTTTTTTTTAATGGCAAAGTTACATTAAACTTATGAATTTTAATAATATATATGGTAAAAAGGGAACTAAGGAACTGAATGATATATATGTTCATCCCTTGGGTACATCCCTTGGGTGCGTTTATATCATCTGGCTATAATTGACTTAAAAATCCATCTCTTGGGTAGACCCCTTGAGTGTTTTTGAGTCAGTTAGAACCTGAATCCTCTTCTGAACCTTCCTTTTGGCTTAAAAAAAAAGTTACATTAAACTTAAAGTCATTGCGAATCATTTTTTCACTTTGACCCTCTAATGTGTGCCATTATACATCCCAAATTTTGATAAGCTATCATGATAAATGATATCTACAATTTTCCCTACAATCTCAAAACAGCACAGAATTAAGAAAATCAGTACTCTTACAGAAAACAGTGGACTAAACATAGAATCAATTAAAAAACAATAAAAGAACCCCTCCCCCAAAAAAAAGGAATAAGGACAAATAGCTCCCAAATTATGTCCTAAAGACTAATCTCCCCTTGACATTTCTTAAAAAAAGAATAAGCTTGCACATTCCATCTCTTACTATGTTTAATAATGTATAGACAACTAATCTAGAATATGAGAGAAACATCAGTGAGAAGGTTGGAAAATTGGGTTCGCATGTAGTTGATTTCATTTTTAGATATCTTAGAACCTAAGAATAATTCTAGAAAATTAGAAAAGATAAGGAGGAAATTGATTTGTCATTCTGATATGGCAATAGAAAGATATGGATGCTAGCTTTTGAAGTTACTGTTTTGCAAGAAAATGGACAACTTGTGCATATAGAAGTATACATGCCAATACTCAAAAGAAGTTTCTTATTTTTGTTGCATATGCAAGATCTTCTCAAAGTGAAAAGCATGTTCTGGGGGCTGAATTAAGAATTTTTTTTGACCATCATTCTGGAGAATCTTTGATGATTGGAGGAGTTTCAGTCCCGGGGAGGGGGGGAGGGGGGCTTGACGACGAGATGGGTTTAAAAGAAGTTTGTCAGAATATATTTCTCTAAGAAATGGGTGCTTCGATTTAACATCTTAATAGAACTTGTTTCGGATCACACTTCATTTCTTCATCAGTTCAATACAATATTTAAATCAAAACCAAGGACTATAATATTCTAAATTAATGTGCTTCAGAAGACCGAAATTTATGGATTAACGGCATTAAAACGTGTGCTTTCTGTTGCAAACTAAGAAGATTGAAGTTGTGCTTAAAAGAGTGGAACAAAGCGACCTTTAGAGATGCTTTTCACAACTTGAAAATGGCTGAGAAAAAAGTAAGATTACAGGAGTTGCAATTTGAAAGAACGAATAGCATGACGGTTAAGGGTCGGAGGGTTGGTTAGGGTGGTTAGTGGATTATGATGGATGATGGTTATTATCAGGAGGTCAAGGGTTCAATTCTCGCTGGGGCCATCCAATTTTTTGTTTCTTTTAAAAAAAAGAATGAATAGCATGACGGACATATTCTTTTAAGTGAAGAAGGCTCATCTATTTTTGAAGCTAAACGAGCAAGAAGACTTCATGCACCAAAATTTGAAGCTAAAATGACTAAAGGAACAAGACTCCAATGCATGTTTGGCCTCAAGATTCATGCTAAACATGGTACATGGCTTATAGATAATTATGAGATAGAACCACACACAGTGAATTTTTTAAAAAATCTTGCTTCAGGAGGAGACATTATATGGAAGGAAGCAGCTCAAGAATGCCTATTACAACATGTTCCTTCATTACTCTCAATGGAAGATAAAGAAGATATAGAGATTTAAATGGACGGATTAGAGTTAGTAGTTTTTCGCCATGATGATAAGTGCTCCGCATTGAGATGGTTTCTGGGGACACTTCTGTAGCTAATGATAGGAGGTAATAGAGGTTGACTTGCTAGAAGCGTGATTAGAGTTTACGATTGGTATTCCAATTCCTCGTGCAATAGGGGACACAATCATTACCTTTATGCCAAAAAGCATATTTTAGACCCATCAATCTTTCAACTTTCATTTTTTGAACAAACAAACATTATTTTGAAATATGCCCTTAAAAGTTACAGCATCCACATTCCAACAATGAAGTAGAACGTTATGAACCTAAGTCCTAACTCTCTAATAAGGTCCTCTCACACTTAAAAACTCTGATTTAGGCCAAAACACTCTATTAACGTCATACTCAAAAACTCTGATTTAGGCCACAAGACATATAACGTCCTCCCATGCTTAAAAACTCTTAAATAAGGCCACATTACCAAAGTACTTATTAGACAAATGAGTAAAAACAACAATGGTAGGAGTTTGACTCATGAATCCTAGCCAACACAACACAAAAAAGTACTAAGATAAAACACAACAAAACTACTTGATTCTTAGATGGAGAACATGGTCTTGTTACACAAGTTATCTGGTTCCTCTAGCCCTAGCAAGCAAGTAAGAGTAATGCATCTGAATTAGATTCATTATAGCATGGCGGATTGATCCCTTAGCATGGGAGAATGGAGACTGATCAACATAGTTCCCGAAAAGATCTTGAAAAAGTGTTAAGAAATTTTGGCTATCGATTATTTCTTGGATAATCTGCATGGATTGTTCTTTAGATGCCTTTTTCATACATTTTTCAAACACATTGCTGCCGTATTTGTTCGTGGACAAAGAGACAAAGTTTCCAGCAAGTTGCGCCAATATACCATGAGTCATCTGTGGAATCTTCAATCCAACCAGGAATTGCACAACATAGTTCCCGTAAGGATGTTAGATAGTACAAATGCAATTGAAATAATTTTGGAAACAAGTATATCTCGAGGATCTCCACGATCATGCTCAACACATTATTGCAAAATGCAACATCCACTCTTACCCTAGCAATATCAAGATAGTTATCAGCCACAACACTCAATATATACTTTTTGTTTTCATTTGGAAAATAATTCAAACAGTGCTCAATAACATGGTGGCCATTGGCTTTCTTTGATAGAGTAATAGTAATATGCCTCAAAGCCGATACAACCAACAATCTCTGCTCAGCTGTGGTTAATCGTCCAAGCAATTTTTGCATGGCCCGAGTCCCATGGGTATCAAGACAAATGTTCATGAGCTTATGTTCCTGACTCACCACCATCATCACTAACTCAGTGATTTGCTCCTCATTTGCAACCTCAAACATCTTCTGCACCAAATAATTTGCAAACTGATCCATCATCAACTCCCTGACATGATTCTTCAACTCCGGAAAAATCATATCTTTCTCTTCAGGCTTCCCTTCAGCCAATAGCTTCTAAAGATCTCGACAACCATTCTGGTCTTTAGCCACAATGAATACCTTCCCTCTCAATTCCTCAAAGAACGTGATTATTTTATTCCTCAACTCTACCAAAGAGGATGAAAAATTCTACTGATGATGATGATTCCCACCCCGATTTCGACTACCACCAAAAGATGAAGACGAAGACGAAATAGCATCGAAAGACCTTTCCCTCATAACCCTATATATTATTAGTATTATTACTCCTCCTGGAATTATATCCGAGCTCGGGAAAGAAAACAACATCTTTGATATTCCAAGAATACCCCTATTGTTGACGAAGGAGGAACGATTTTAATAGAATGATTGAAACCATTGTTGCATAAGTTAATCTCTAAAAGCAATCAGTGTTTTTCTCTAGGAAAGACATACCGCATCCTTCTGACTCAGGATCTTAGCCAATTTCTAGATCACCCTTCAGTAGGAGAAACTTTGATTATTAAGGAAAACATATGATGAAAGCCTTTGAATGGGTTTTATGCGATTTTTTGAGCTTATTGCTGTCAGCTTTTGTTTTGTAGAAGTTTTATCTCCCTAATTATGACATATCTACAAGGTAGCTGGTTCTTTATTCTTGTTAATGAGAGTTCTACCACTTTCTTTCAAGTATCTAGAGGAATCAAATAAGGGTGACCCTCTACCCCTTATGTTTATTCATTCTATTGTCTGAATCTATGTCTCGGAGACTAAAGTGCATACATTACAGAAACAGTAAAAAGTGAAAGGTAGAGAGTCCTATTAGGTTTGTTTGAGATGCTACACTTTGAGGCTTGATTTTGTTCCTTTTAATTATTTTTCTTTTTCTATGGGGCTGCTTGATTTAGATGCATTGATTTTTGGATTTAATTAATATAGTTTTTTCTCGAGTTTGTTGCATTAAGATGGTAGTGACCAAAGAGAGGTGGCTGCAATTTTGTGGTGGCAAGGTAGAAAGATAGGATTAGAGTTAAAGATACAAAGAAATTTCGTATTATTTTCAATTTCTATTACATTTCAATCAAAATATTAAATTATAGCTTTGATACCCGTTACCATATGTTTTCTATGAATCCCATTTTCAGCTATCAAACCCCTGCTGAACCTGGCAACCCTAACACTTCGTTAATACAAAAGAATGACACAAAAGTGATCATTCTCAAAAAAACCAACCAAAGATAGTTTTCATCATATCACGAGTTATATAGCAATATACTTAACGCAAATGCTAATCAAATAGGCAGTCCACTCAGGACCATAAATGACTCCTTAAAGACTAGTTTGATAAAAAAAAAAAAAAGTATCATCTATGCTAGGATGTTGAATTGCATTCAATTCAAACTCATTAGTATTACTCAGTAATTCCAACACTTGATTCATACCCCTTTTCTTGCAGCTACTATAGTGATTTTTATATAACTTTCTTCGTATTGAATCAACTTCCTATCACATAGATAGTTAATCTACATGTTCTCCTTTTTCATCGACTTTGAGCTTGTTTATCAAAGATAATCTTTCCTTACAAAAAGATAGTTGTTTTGACCAACATAGGATAGAATAACCTTCCTCTTCCTCTCACAAGTAGGGTTCATATGAGAGGCTATATTATTTTCATAATGTTATCTTACCAAGCTACCAAAACAAATGCGATATCAAGTTGTGGCCACATCCATTCTGTTTTTCTGCAATGTAATTGTATAAAATTATTATGTTAATTTTCACATTGATATTTCATCTATTGTTACACTTAATTTTCTCCCTTTTTAGTTTTTTTTTTGTTTTGTCTAATTTCACTCTGACATTATACTTGGATTTGTATAAGTAGTTCCCATTAAATATTTGTCGAGCTTGGGTTGCGTTAAAAACTTAGAATGTATTTGATTGTACTTTAATAGATCCAATATATATATACTGCAGATATAATTGCTTGTTCAAACTTCATTCTTTTTTTTGTGATAAATTGTTTCGTTTCTATTAGAGTTCTTTCTAGGTTTCAAACTCATACCTTTCATACTTTTATCTAAATATTTTTGAGTTAATACAAGTATAAGATGACCTTAGCATATATTTATATACAATACATATTGTAGATTGTCATTACTTATAACGATACACGACGACCAAACCATTTTTCTTCCTAGTTGATGACAATGTCCTTGGGCCAACTTTATTGAGTAAGTCAGTTTATTAAAATAATCTTGATAAGTTTTCTTACCTTCATTTTATCCAATAATTTATTCTTAACAAGTTCATTAATGAGTCAGAGTATTTTTTATTTTTTTATCGGTATTTTCTTGTTTACTTTAGTTCCCCCTGCTTTTTTCCATCATAATCAATGGTAACTACTGGAATAAAATATTCACTTACAATCAAAACACATTCATAACCCCATCGAACCATATGTTTGAATAAATGAAAGAAGAAATGAATAAATAAATTATGATTCTTGTTACTTTCCTAATCACGTGAATCGAATAACATTTCTATTAGTGAATTCAAACTCAAGACCAATCAAGGTTTTTTTTTGGGTGTTATCTTGATAGGATCATAGATATAGTTTAACAGAAACCTATGAAAATACCCCTCGTTCTGAAAATACCCCTCGTTCTCTCTAGCTGAAATCCTAATCTTGACGCCTCCATGGCTGCTTCTCGGCCTCCATGGCCAAAAGTCACAAGCCAGCGACTCAAAGAGAGTCACCAAAACGTTTGCAAGCTTCTTCCAAAGGCCATCCAGCCTCGAGACACCCTCGAGGAAGGAAAAATTTCTCTAATCAAGGAAGTTAAATTTGTTAATGGCATTGCAACCTTGGAGTTTGAGGATAACGAGTTTGAAAAAATTGTGGCCCCCATCGATTATGTCTAGTTGGGAAATTCTCTTACGGTCGACCCAAAATGGAGGACATCCATGCGAAATTTAAGAATATTGGGTTTAATGGAAGCTACACTTTGGGTCTTATGAACCCTAGGCACATCTTAATCCGGTTTAAGCAAGAGGAAGATTATCAAAGGTGTTGGATTCGGATGTTCTTGAATATCTCAGGTTTTTCGGTGAGAATTTTGAAATGGATGCCTAGATTTTGCTTTGAGGAAGATCCTCCGGTGGTGCTAATTTAGGTGTCACTGTATGATTTGCCTATAGAATACATGCACCTGGAGGTCATACATTCCATGGCGACATCAATTGGACAACCTTTGAAGGTTGATACTCAAACAATGAACATGACGAGGCCCTCCATTGCACGATTTTGTGTAGAGGTCGACCTCACAAAAGACCTCCCAAAGTCGGTTAAAATTGGCAAGAGAGATAGAAAACATGAACAGGTTTTCACCTATGAATGGAAAATAGCAGACAAGGAAAGCCCCCACCGCAATTGAAACTGAATGATAAAGGAACGGCTCAAACAACAAAGAAGAAAGTCGTGAAAATTCATCTGCCAAAGGTGAATTGGAAATTCAAAGGATTTCAACCTAGTCTTGAGGTTGAAATCCTTAAGTCACAGCCCCTTATTGTTCGAGTAGTGGAAAAGCTATCTTCGGATGCACTAATGGTGGAATCGCAAACCCCAGTTGCGGAAACCCTACTTGCGGAAACTCAAGTTGCGAAAACCCTAGTTGCGGAAGCTCAAGCTGCGGAAACCCCAACTGTGGAAGTTGTGCGCTCTGAGGGATCTTCTTCTGGGTTGACTGATAAGGAGAAGAGTGTTGTCATTGTGGATGTTCCATCGGAGATAGTCCTAGTCACAACGGTCTTCAATAGCTTTGCAGCTTTGGCGACAATCGAAGAGGCTGCGACTGAAGTAGTTGATGGCGATGGTGAGGAGCTTGTTGAAAATGTGTATATTGAGGATCCTCCACCTAGAAACCAAATCTAGAATGCCTTGAAGGAAGCTGATGAATCTCTGACTTTACTCCTGTCAGGAAATGGTGGTCCTTTGGAAGTTGGTAAATGCTTTGATGACGGTGATATTGGAAAATTCATTGAAACTGAGGTTATGGAGGATAGTGAGCCAGAATGTTGGTCGATATAAGCGATGGTTATGGATAGGAATCTGCACAAGGGGAAGTTCCTATGCATAAGAAACGTGGTTGCAAATCCAAAGAGGTAAAGGCAAAATTGCAAGCTGGGTTGATCCCGAGAAGATCGACAAGGTTGCAATAGCAAGTCATAGTTTTATTTATAATATTTTTTCCATGATTAGCCAAATAATCTGGAATATTAGAGGAATAAAAAATCAAGAGTCGCATCGACGTATGAAGTCTTTGATTAACATTTATCGGGTCTTCTTTTTAATCATTTTGGAGCCCATGGTGGTTTCGGATCAGCTAGAAAGCATAATGAGAGAACTGAATTTTGATACTGCTTTCTCTTCAAATTCTAGTAAAATATGGGTCTTTTGTCATAGAGAGTTTTCAATTACCTTGCTGGATGATGGTGATCAGGTTATGCATTTTGAGGTGACTCATGTTAATGTAGCTGAGAAGTTCTATCTTTCTGTGGTGTATGCAAAGACTACTAGATTTGCCAGGCATTATGGGAGAGTTTAATCACTTTTAGACAGGGGAATGAAAATTCAGCATGGATGGTCGCAGGTGATTTCAATGTCATCCGGTCTTTGGAAGAGTATTCAGGGGTTTCAGTTCAGGATCACTTGGCTATGACTGAATTTAATTCCTGTATCTATGAGTGTGGTCTTCTTGAGCTTCGAGCGACCGGCGAAGAATTTACTTGGGGTGGCACTCGGAATACTGGCTGGCTTAGTAAGAAGCTTGATAGGGTTTTGATCTCGAAGGAATGGAGTGAAATTTTTCCAAATTCTTCAGTGGAGAATTTAAGCAGGACTACTTCCGATCATTGTCCATTGTTGCACCTTTTTTGCTGCGCAAGGAGTAAGCAAACCAAAGATCTTTAGATTTTAGAAGATGTGGTTGCGTCAGGCAGAGTTTAAGGACATTGTGAAGGAATGTTGGGATCAACCGATGGAGCAAAATGTAATGCTTCGTTTCTCTTTAAAGCTTAAGCGCTTGAAATTTAAATTGAAGGAATGGAATAAGAGTGTCTTTGGTGATGTGTTTGAAAATTTAAGAAAGGTGGAGGAAGAAGTCCAACACTTTGAAAGCATACATGATGTTACTGGGGATGAGCCTGACAGGATTAAGATGAATGAAGCAAAGGCAAACTTGTTGCTTAGATTAAAAGAGCATGAGGATTTTTTGGTCCCAAAAGATGAAGCTCAAATGGTTGAAAGAGGGGGATGGGAATACAACTTTTTTTCACACTACTTTGAAGGAGAGAAGAATCGAGCAAAGTATATTTAAAATCCAAGCAGAAGATAGCCAAATGTTGATGACTAGTTTTGAAATTGATCTAGAGGCAGAACGGTTTTTTAAAAGTCTCCTTAATGAGCCTGATGATGAGCAATGTGGGGAAGACTCGCAGGAGATCTTTCTTGAACATATACCTTCTCTTTTATCTCATGAAGACCTTGAGTCGTTGGTTCAGCAAGTCACCATTGAGGAAGTTAAGGAGTCGGTTTTTGGTTTGGATTTATGGCTTTGGAGGATTGTTCTATCGATCTTGTTGGGATATTGTGGCTAATGATCTCTTGGTAGCATTTCAGGAATTTCTACTTGGAGTTCCTATACCGTGATCAGTGCTAGCACCCTCATAACTCTTATTCCGAAGAAAGCTATGGTGAATACTTTTTCAGATTATAGACTGATTAGTCTATGCACTTTCCTGAATAAAGTCTTCACAAAGGTCCTGATCGAACGATTGAAAAAAGTTTTGCCAAAGATTATTTCGGAAGAACAATTGGCTTTTTTTGTCGGAGCGAGATATTTTTCATAATGTGATGGCAGCACAAGATCTATGCCAGTTTCTTAATCGAAAGATTGAAGGAAGGAATTATATTTTGAAGCTTGATATGATGAAGGCATTCGATCGTGTTAAGTGGTCCTTTTTGGCGAAGGTATAGCGTAAATTTGGCTTCCTACATGCTTTTGTTAATCTGAATTTGAACAATTGTGCACCGTTGGTTCTTCATTATGATTAATGGGGGGCCAGTGGGGGTTTTTCCAATTCTCTAGATGTATAAAGCAAGGCGATCCCTTGTCTCCGTACCTTTTTATTTTGGTTCCGGAGGCTTTGACCAGGAGGCTCAATGGTTTAGTGGATAATGGAAAGGTGGCTGCATTTTATGTTCCTTCAAGTTCAATGACCATTTCTCATCTTGCTTTTGCAGACAATTTAATTATCTTCTCGCGAGGCTTGAAGAGGTCTCTTTGTGAACTTAATGCTTTCTTCCATGATTACGAACGAGCTTCCGGTCAGTAGATTAATCGATAAAAGAGTTCATTTATAGTGGCGGGTAATTTCCTTGCGCGAAGGGTGTAGATCATTCAGAATACTCTTGCCATTCAGAAAGGAAGCTTTCCATTTGTTTATCTTGGCTGTCGTTTGTTTCCAGGAAGACGCAAGGCTGCTCATTATCAATTTCTCCTGGATAATATGGCTAATAAGTTGTTGAGTTGGAGGAATAAACTTCTAAATCAAGGTGGTCGCCTCATTTTGATTAAGCATGTTTTAGCTTCAATGCCAATACATGTTTTTTCTGCTAATCTGCCACCTAAGTTGATTATATAGAAGATGGAACGTTTGTGTCAACAGTTCTTATGGAGTGGTGCTAATAGGGGGAATAAGAAACATTGGCAGGCTTAGGAGAACTTAACTTTTCTAGTTTTGGAGAACAAGCTTGGTATTCGAAGTTTGCAAGATACAGTGGAGGCCTTAACGGTGAAGGTGTGGTGGAAATGGAAGCAAAAGAAGGGTATTTGGAGTAAATTTTTGAGTTCCTTATCTCAGTCGTTGAGGGGAAAAACGTCATGGAGTCGGGTTATTAAAGTGCATCATCGTGCTATACAACACTCGAAAGTCATTGTGCACGGAGGAAATATTTCCTTTTGGTATGATAATTGGACACCCTTTGGTGTCCTTTGGGCTGATCATCATGAAGACCTTCCTTATCCAAAGTTGATGATCAGGGAATTCTTCCTACAAAAACAAAACTTTCTGATTACCCTTCATAATTTTATTCCTGTTGTTGTTGCTAATTTTCTTGTAGACTTGAATTATGATTTTCAGGAAGACGATGACTTGCTTTTTTGGCAGCATACCTCTAGTGGAGAACTTACGGTTAAATAGGCCTACAAAACAATGAGACGGAGGAAACCGTTGGAAGCTTTGCTGAAAAATGTGTGGAGTTACATCATTCCTTTGAAGATATCGGTCTTCTTGTAGAGGCTGCGTAACAATCTATCGTCTTTCCCTGAGTTTTTGAGCAGAATGGGCATTCTGGTTTTGCCTTCAATATGTTTTTTTTGCTTTGATCATTTTGCGAAAATTTTACACATCAATATTAATCGATGTGGTTCCTTAGCATCAATTCTTGAGTTATGGTGGAGAAAAGGGGATATCAAATCAGCTCAAGGTGCTTTCCGAAAAGCTATCCCTTCGATTATACTTTGGATCATTTGGAAAGCTTGCAACAAGGTTATCTTTGAGGGTCATAACCCAAACTCTTTCATCCTTAAGACTGACTGCTCGTCCCATTTGAAGGAGGCTGGTTATGGTTTTGTAATTCGAGGAGAGGGTGGATTTTTTGTATATTGGGGAAGTGGCTACTTAGGTGATGGAGATAGCTACAAGGCTGAAATCTTCGGTGCTTTATTCGGATTAAGGAAGTGTGATTCTCTGGGGCTTTCTAATGTGGTGTTTCAAATGGATAATAAAGCCCTAGCTGATGCTCTCAGTTTGCACAGAGGTTTTTTGTGGGATTATTACACGTATTTGCAGAAATGACTTTTACTATACAAAGGAATAATTTCCAGGTTTTACATTTATATCGGGAGGCGAACTTTGTTGTTGATCGACTGGCAAGATATGCGTCAAGTGGCTCTTCTGAGTTGTATTCTAGCTTAGCTACATTTCCACTAGTTGTAAAGGGATTATTGATCCTTGATCAATCATCCTTCTCCTACATTAGAATTCGTTATGCTTGATGCAAAAACAGGTAAGTTTGATGCACTGCCTGTTTTTTATATATATTATGGAATAAATTATGGGAGGAAAGGCACTAGGGAACTAGGTGGTATACATGTTCATCCCTTGGATATACCCCTTGGGTGCGTGGTATCATCTAGCACTTGCTGATGCAGGGAACATCTCTTGGATAGACCCCTTGAGTATTTTCTGTGTCAGCTGGGACCTAAACATCTTTCCATCTTTTTTTTTTGTTTAAAAAAAATCATAGGTATAGTTTATTATCATAAAGTTTCTTAGAGTATCAGTTCTCATAAACATCAATATATGATCTAGCTACATCAATATAGTTCAGTTCTCTATCCCAAAATGATCGTCCAAGTTTAGAATTTGAATTCTAGTAAAAATTGTATTAAAAATGAAAAGGGAAAAGGATATGAACCCTCTCGAGTTATGTCCATTAACTATTTCCTCCCTCTTGAGACTTTTGATAAGGACCTGATACAAATCTTGAGGCAAAAGTGGCAAATTTACCTCAACGCATAAGATTTTCTTTCCAAGAATTAATAACTTGTGACTCTAATGGAAAATAATCCAACAACGTGTAGAAAGAAGAAAGAATAATGCAAACCACAAAAATTTGCACTAAAAAAGGAGGAAGGTTAGAAGATGGTGAAAGTGTTTATGGCTAGCAACCAAATCGGTTACCTCTCTAACAACCCTAACCCTTCGATTTATGAATAGAGCGGCTAGCAAAAAGGCTTAAATGAACGGCTAAGAAAACCTCCACATGTGAAGAACACCTAAATCACGTGCACACTTGCAACAAAGTACAAACAAATTGCGCAATGCACTATTCTTCGCAAAGAATAGAAGAATAAAGAGTTTCCTCTGTTTTATATTAAAAATCAATAATAATTGAAAACATATTATTTTGGGACGTTCAACTACCTATTTATAGGCAAAGGTTGGCTTGAAGAAAAAAAAATCCGAATACAAGTTCAAATCGGATTTTGTCCGTCTAAACTTTCCAAATATAGCTAAAATAATAATTAAATTAATAATTGCACATGACACGATTATTTAAAACAAACTAGAATCTTTCATAAGACTTGAAGAGTCGGACATCATAAGAAAATTTTTGGAATATCATTTTGCCATTCAAACTTGCAAAACCTGCCAATCTTGTCCGAACGTCGTCGACCTTGTTTTCGACTGACAGTTTGCTCAACGCTAGTTTGTCGACTATGTTGTCAACCCACGATATGCTTGACGTACCTCTGTTGATTTTTTTTTCTCAATTAAAACATCGATGCGTTCCTGTCAGCTCCCTGGTTAACATCATTTGCTTCGCCATTAGTTCAACAAGATCCTATTCACTTTGTTGTCGACTTAATTCTATCTTGATGTGAAACATTATTTGGCTTTAATCTTCCATCATTTTTAATTCCAACCTCAAGATGAGTCCATTCTATCTTCATGTGATCAAAATCCATGTGATGATCATCATCGTTAGGTATGACACTTAACGGTCCATCCATGATCACATCAAGACCCCTTGATAATCAATGGACGATTGCATCTTTCGACAAAGAAATTGTAGTAAATTTTGAAAATACAAATTACATCTAAAGAAGACAACGTTTTTAGAAAAAGTTAACAAAATAGGTGGCAAACCACACATATAAACTGTGCACATAAAGACAGAAATATATGAACCGGAAGAAGACATCATTCAAATTGAAGAAAGGTCATTCACCAACACCGCCGCCACTACCTTCAGGAATGAGGGCCCATAGGGTCCTCTTCCAAGGGCATTTGGGCCTGAAACAGAAATTACTCACGAAATTGAAGATAGCAAAAGTGAAACGGTCGGGTGAAACTAGTGTTATTGCTTTGAAGTTCTATGATGAATATGGTCTACCTGTTGTACTCCTGGCGGTTGATTCTCGCTGCACATATAAGGAACATGATGTTCATGGTGTCGAAAGAACCATACTGAGGTGTCAGATGACAAGATTACTGCTGGTATTAGATTTATGAAATATTGTATTTACTTGTCTGTGAATTCGGACAACTCCACTGGAGGTGTCATATCTGCCACCTACATAGGTCCGCAAAATGATATTCAACTCGCAGCTGGTCAGTTTAGCATTGTAGTTATCAATCAAGATGTCTTCAACCTGAGCATGCTGACGATTACGACACGTGCATAATGGTTGAGATATCTGGCTCGACATAATCTTCAACTCCAGTGCTTTCTGAATTTACAGTGACCTTAATGTTTTAGGATTTTGTTGCTTATCCTGATGAAGTAAGACTTAAATGTAGGATAACCTTTTGAGCCTTTTGTTGTTTGGAGTTTAACCATGAGGTCTTTTGTTTATTCTGCGATCTTTTTTTTTTAGTTAAAGAATCCATGGAACATGTAATATGGTAGGATGGCAGTGAATTCTGGTTTTTGGATATTGATATAGAACATGGAACATGGAACATGTATGTCCAAAAAATAAAAAATAAAAAAATAAAAATATTAATAATAGAGAATAAGGACTGACCAATCCACACAACATGCAAAGAGGGTAAATTCCAGCCAGAAAATCCTTATAAAGAGAATCGATACAAGAATACAATCAATCACTTGTGAACATTGCATCAAACACTATATTTAAAAAAAAATCGTAAGTAACAACGAATGACCATGAAAACAACAATAAATCACCTAGAGCTCCCTTGTCGATATTGTTGTAGATACTAGGACCCTTAAAGGTTGAATTCCAATTCCCGTCTAAGGACTAGAGTTTTAGAACCACTATCCTTGGGGCTTGTTCTAACAGCACCCTTTTGACTGTGAACAGAAAAAAAAATCACTTTAAAATGTCAAGAGGAGGATAATTTTTGAATATCTCAAAACCATCCCCCTCAAAGGCTAAAACCTTGTTTTGAAAGATTTTAAAGTTTTCGATATTCATGTTTCTTAGCTACTACTTCTGCTTGAGCTGGGTTAGCCAATAAGTTTTCAAGTAAAGGATTATATTGAGATACACTTTCTCATCAACCCATGTCAATCCTTGAAGAAACTTATAAATAGCAGCAATTTTTTTATTCTTACGCTAAGAGGCCACACGATCTATATTTTTTGTGAATGTCCGCCACAAATATGTGAAAATCAACACTGATTTTTTTTAAAATTTTTTCAGAAAGTTAATACATGAATGAATATGCTTACTCCATAATTTCAGCAAAAAAGACATTGATTAATCAAAACCAACTCTAGAAATCTAGTTAAAAATACATGATATGTGAATTTTAGATACCTCACAAGATTTCCTAGAAGACTCTTTTAAGCAAAAGGATAGATGCATGTAGACATGCCAGAAATCAATCAATCAACACCATTATACACATTCTCAATAATTCAGAATTGTCTTCCTTCCTGATTTGACTTGTTTTCTTTATCAATCAGACAAAAATCATTAGCAAAAACATATTATCTTCTTCTTTTTCTTCCTTGCCAAATGAGATCGGGATTGAAGAAGAAGAATCTGAATTCCGTGTTTACAAAAACCTCAGGCTAAATAAACCCTTATGTTTAGTTACCAATAATTTACATCATATGTTGATGCACAAAACCAAAACAACCATACTATTTTTATTTTAGTTTCTTGCAATAAAATAAAAAATCCATCAACATGTAAGCGTAGGTCATAGAAGCCAAATAAGGAACATGTTCTTGAATTGTAACATCTGCTAGTTCTAGATTAACAAAACAAACTGTTTTAAGGTCTTTTGTTGGAGACTAATCACTCTTAGTAACTTCATCAATATGGTTTATACAAAAATCAAAAAGAATGATTGAAACCTCTGCTACTAAAGTTATTATTATTATTATTATTGTTATTATCATTATTATTATTATTATTATTATTATTTTCAATACATTTTCAGAAGTTGTTCAATTCAAAAGAGGGTCAAACAGAAAAAATAAAACTACAAATACAACTAAAAAAACATACAAATGATATCATTTCCATTAGTATCATAATCCACGAACTACCCATCAGAAACTAGAACAATCCGTTTGTGGTTAGTATGGAAACGATACTTTGAAACATGAATGCAACTAGAGGGAGGCATCTCCCTAGAAGCTCTAGTAAGTCTTCGTCTGTAGGCTAGAGTATGAATGTATAATTTCATAAGTAATAATATCCTAGGGTGAGGTAAACAGACGATGGGCCGAGATAATATTCAAAATAGTAGAAATCAGGATGTTATTAAGTTGAAGAAAGTAGAAAGTCCCAGAGTTGTGTGTCTGGAATTGAGAATGGTAAGCCCAAAATTGAGGAGAGAAAAGAAACCATAATTCTTATCCTTGGATCTTATACCCTTACCATACAATGACCAGAACCAAAATCACAACAAACGTTCAAACTCAAGAGACAAATCATTGATTTAAACTGATGAGATTTCTCCATCCATCTAGCTTAATAGCAAACGGCCTCTGCTACCGAAGTTATTATTAAAGGAACAATCAACTTTCATACTAGGGAGAGATATTATGAATAATACATTAATGAACCAAAATATTTACCAATGATAATGACATCCAACCATAAAAGGGAACCTGATTCTTATTTGTATGTAATAAAAAATTTTTGTTACTTTTCATTGGAATTTTTGAGATCAGTGCTATCAGTTACAGGTTTCATGACAAATTTATATTACTGATGAAGGGTAATTTAAAAAAAAGAACCTGATTCTTAAATGTGTATAGTAAAAACTTTTGTTGTTTTTCATTGAAATTGTTTAAATCAGTGCTATCACTTATGGGTTTCATGACAAATTTATATTACTGATGAAGGATAATTTAAAGGAGAGTTGGTTCCCAACTCTCTTAAATGATAGTTATGCTAGCTTCTTTTATCCTCATCGAGGAATTAAGCAGAGGGTTCTTCATCCCCTTGTTTAATGTCAGAAACCATGACTCGAAACTTGAAATACTTTTCAGAGATTGAGAAGATATGAACATATGGTATACCTGTTGGCTTCCCATCTATGTTTTGCTGATGGCTTAAAAATATTTTCAAAAGGTTTGAAAAGATAGATGCAGCAATCAAATAAATTTTCTAACGACTACCAGAGAGATTCTAAGCCAAATAAAAAACATTATACAAAAAATTATGTTCTTCGTGTTAGATGACAGTAGTGATTGATATGCTCAAAAGGTGATTGGCAGGCAAAAATGATAATAACCTTTCATATACTTGCATTGTAAGTTTTTTCTTTCCAGCAATGTAACGAATTGGGATAATATTCTTCACAAATCACGTAAATTATAACACTGATAAGTGCAAAAAATGCAACAAAAATGCCAATCAAAAGGCATTGAAGATTGTAGGTTCTACCAAATTCAGCATCCTAAGGTAAAAAGATAAGGATTCTTAGGAAAAAGTTAAGGATTCTTCTTATAATTTCGCTGCTTCGGAAGTCCATAACTTTGTAGATACTTCATCAAATCTGCCTCCATAGTGATGTTCGGCATAGAATACTTGTATACATCTCAGTTCAGATGTGCAGTATCAGTAGCCCAAGAAAATAATGTAATATTGGTTTTAGGGCCAATATACCTCCCTCTCAAAGTACCCCTTGTAGCGGGGTCAAGAGATGCAGCATCGTTATCAGGTAACATCATGACAACAATAGAGGTGCCATGGGAATTGGAAACCTTGAAAGTTCGAATATGGGAAGTAGTCTCTGTAGATGGTTGGTGGGTTGGAGTTACAGTCCTCTTTGTAGGAGTCTCATTTTTGTCGGGCTTCACCTCATTTTCAGACTTGACCATTTTGAGAGGAGCACCATTAGTTGCTTTTGGATCCTCATTGTGAATCTTCCTTTTTCCTTTGGCAAAGTTTAAAGTGGGAGGGTTTTCCCCTGTGGATTAAGAGGCAGGGGGTGGTGAAGGACGCGGCTTCCTCATTCTCATTCTCTGGGCAATCTCAACAAGTGGAAGGGTTTAGAACTTTGGAAGCTAAAAAATGATTTTGCATTAGGGTTTCAGGTGGTAGAGGACCGTTAATAGGACTTGCCTTCATAGAGGGCTGTAAGACATTAGACTAGCCCATTTTGATGGGGTTGGGCATTTCTTATCAAGGAACTATAAGACTTATTTGCATCTAAGCCAAAGGCTTGAAATGTTGGTTTCAAGCGTAAGCATAGACCCATGGATCCAAAAACATTCGAAAGAGTGAACCTCATGGGCTAATAATGGAGATTCAAGGCTTAAGGCCCAAAACCTCAAGCTCGCTGCATTTCTTATGCACAATTTATCTCAAAGTTAGAATAACTTGGGAATCATATAAACAAGTACTCCCTGGAAAATAAATTTCAGGACGGATGGAGTATTTTAGAATAGAAGTGGGAGGTGTACCCAAAAAAAAAAGTGCACCAAAAAAAAAAAAGAATAAAGTAGGAGTGAATATTTGATGTATCTTCTTCTTCTCTGGCTTAGGGTTTAGATGGACAACTTGCGTGCATATGTATACACCTAAGTTGAGTCGATCTCGAATCGATTTGAACTCATCTCCGTCTCCATCTTCTTCTCCTCCATCGTCATCCAACATAGTCGTGGGCGAGCCAACACTTGATTTTATCAAGCAAAGACCACCCATGCATTCTAAAATAAACATGGATAATAGACTAGGATCAGAAAATAGATATGATCTGAAAAATTGATATAAGCAAGGAGGAAAATGGACATGGAGATGGATGAGAGAATTAAAAAGAGACATGATGGAGAAATGGGGCATGGAAGAAAGGTTGCTTTGTAAGTTATTTAAACGGAGGAAAACGACAATCTATTTCTTGTACCTTCCTGAACCTTTTTATGTAAATTGGCCGACTGGAGGAACAAATTTCTCTCTTCCTTTTTTATATAAAGTTGGCTAAGAGCCAGGAGTCCCAAATTCTTCTATACAGTTTGAGAAGAGTTACGAAAGGCCATCGGCCAATAGTGCCCTAGTTACTTAGGGGTCGGGCCGGTAAGCCTTTGGCTAAGCTAATGTTGATCAATTGATTAGAGTAAACCTTGGCTCTCTTACGAAGAAGACAAATTTCTCTCTTTATAAGTATGTTTGTTGTTTATTAACCATGCATTAGTTGTAATACCTACTCATGTCTTAGCAGTCATTCCTCCACCAAAATCAATCATATCAGCTTTGGAATCTAAATGTCAAGAATTTTTATTGGGAACAATGAGTGGGAAAACAAACATATATCGGAGACTGTGGAAGAGGATTTCATTTCCTACGTGAGAAACTGGCTTAGGCTTGTAGAAATTCAAGAATCTAATTAATGTTTTTTCAATGAAGTTATGGAAGTTAAAGACTAAAAAGGGAGTATAGGCAAAATTCATATCATCGCTCTTAGAGGCTTCAAAACAAAAGACAAATCAGAAAAATGTAAAAAGAAAGTGCACCTAAAAATTCATATGTTATTATCGGTAATGGTTAACATCCTTTTTAAGGGATAATTGGTTGATTTCAGAATTTTCAAAGGATGTTAATTGTATAATTACTTGAGAATTCAAATATTTAACTGTTACGGAGTTCTTTTGTCAAAACCAATATTATATAGAAGTGTTTGGAGAAATCCTGGCATCATGAATCTTACTTATGATTGATACCTTTAATTTTTTGAAGAAAAAGATGATTTCGTGAAGACAACTACACAAATAGGATCATTCTTTACATCTTCAGCATTCAGAGTTACCATAGATTAAAAAACTCATTTTTCCTTTTCAATGTTTATTTGGAACAAAATAATTTTTCCATAATTACATACGTCCCTTCAAGATGTCCTCTATGTTTAGCAGATGAAGATGTCATCTAACATGTCATCTTTCAATGTGGATGTTCCAAATGTATTTCGGATTATTTTGAATCACTATATGGAATAGATCAACCGTCGGTTTTAGTTTTAAAAGTATATTTCTTTTATTATTTTCAATTAAATTACCATATTTCTTTTTGGGTAAATTTTTACCATCTTTCGCACTATTTGAAATTTGAAAAATAGAAAGAGTTTTTTATATGAATGGAAGAGGTTTAATTTTAAAGTTATATTTTTCACATCAAATTTACTTTAACTTACTGTTTATTTTGAAGTTAGAAAAGTCCCCCATTTGCTGTTTATATAAAACAAAGAATTAAAGGTCGGTTCTCTTGGGATATGACCTCATTCCACTGTCCCTGCAAGTTAATTTTAGTATATTTGGAAATCAGAATACTTTTGCAGGTCTCCACAGGAGGGCGGGACAGAGGTAGTAATAGTTATGGTTATGGTAATAGATAGGATTTTCTATTTAGTTTTCTATTTGCTCAGAAGTTTCATGTCATTTTTAGTAAAATCTTTGTACAACAATTATTATTTCGATAAGTCTCAAGCACTGTTTTTTTTAAATCATTACTTAATCTAAAAAATTGAACATAAAATAAATATCTAAATAGATATTATTTTTAATTTAATATATGGATATTTGTGCAATCAGATTGAACATTTTCATAAGAAACAATGACACAGTAAATAAAAAAAATTAATGCCACAAAATTCGACATTATTATCACGTCAATAAATTAATCAAAAAAATAAATTACCTCTGTAAAAAATATGTTAAAATTTATCTCCATAAATAACAATCACATTTGATCAACAACCTTTTTTGTATTTTAGTTTCTAAGAAAAGAAATTAAGAACCTTTTTTTCTATTCTCCTGTCCTCTAACAAGGGTGACCAAGGAAACTTCATTTCAGCAGAATGTAAACATATAGGTCTGAAGCATAGTTTTGCAGCTGCAATTAAGGAAAGGAGATAGGGATCTAAAAAAGGCAAGGAACTTCAGCTTCAGAAAGTTCAGTTATATTTTGATGATATGGTGATTGTGTATATGCTTAAAAAGGGTTCTATGTATTCTTGGAGACATCAAGCATCTTTAAAGAAAATAGATAAAGTTTTGGAAAGAACTTGATGTACAATCATGCATGTATGTAAAGAGATAATTCAGTTGTGGATACACTAGCAAAACTTGCTTCAACAAGACAAAACTCTAATTTTGAAGTTAGGATTCAATTATCTAATAATCATTGTGTGGTTTGTTGGCGACCACCAATCCTTTTCCTTTATAATATCAAAATAAAATGTAAGATAGGGCCATCGTAACTGAATTATAAGAATCTAGCGTGCTTTCTTTTTTTAATGTAATAGTTATGGTTCTTATAATAGATAGGATTTTCTTCTCAATTTTCTATTTTTACTAACAGTTTTCATGGGCTTTTTGGTAAAGTGTTTGTACCGCATTTCTTGTTTTTGGGTAAGTTTTAGCACTACCTTACACACTACCTTCTGGATTTAACTAAAAAAATATAGAGTAATAATAGAGACAATGAAAAATACATAGTGAAATGAATATTAACCTTTGTGCATATAATAACTGGGCGTAAAATTGTAACTTTGGGAGGAAAGATAAAATTTTAACGGAAAAATGACATCGAAATAGGGGTTAGAGTTCAGTCACTTTTTAACTGCACACATCATTTTCCAAAAAGATAGCATATAAATTAATATTAAAATATGTGTTATTTTTTTTTTAATTTTCAGATATCCGTGCAATAAGGATTGATCAATTACATCATAAACAATGATAGAAAAATTATAAATGGTACAAAATTCCATATTATTCTTCTGGTCAACAAGTTAACAAATAAAATATCATTATAAAAAAGTTTCTTAAGATTTATCTCCACGCAATATTGATCACAATTGATAAACAACATCTTTCATATTATATTTTCTTGCAAACATACAAGGTTGAATTGCATTTTTGGCTGAAAGATGGGTCGTTCATAAAATCCAGGTAAATGATGGAGGATGGGTTACAAACATGGCTGACATTGAGAAGGAGATTGTTGTTTCTTTGGGAAACTCATGACAGAAAAGCAGTATCATGAGAGGGATGAAACACAAAATTTATTCTTGTAGCATGTCCCTTCTATCTCGGAAAATCACGACAATGAGATGTTGCATCCTTTGGTTCTAGCAGAAGTTGAGGCTGCTGTGTTTAACCTTAATCAAGATAGCACTTCAGGACAGCATGATGCTTTTGGAGGTTTGTTCTGTATAGGCTACTGGGAGGTAATCGCAAATGATCTACTAAAAGCTCGTCAGGAATTTATGTTGGGAGTTGATAACTCTAATCCCAAAGAATGATAAAGTAAATACTTCTTAGATTTTAGAACCATTAGTTTATGTAATTTCATGAATGAAATATTGACTAATATTCTCACGGAAAAACTGAAAGTTGTTTGGCTTAAACTAATATCGGAAGAACAATTAGCACTTTAGGCTAGCTGGGACATTGTACATATAACATCATATATGTTAGCTCAGGATTCATGTCAATTCGTAAGTCACAACACTCTCGGAGATAATATTATTCTCAAAGTCGACATGTGAAGGCATTTGATTGGGTCACATGGAGTTTTCTTGCAAAGAGTTCTGTAGAGTTTTGGATTCTCTAGGTTGTTCATATCGTTGATTTTGAATAACCTTCAAAATAGTTGGTTTTCTATAATGTTTAATGGGAGCCGCGACAAGGTTTTCTAAAGCAACTAGGGGAATCATGCAAGGTGGTCCTTTGTCTATGCAATGATTTTTGAGGTCATGATGAGATTGAAAGCTCTAGTAGACCTCTAAAAATTTGGCACACTATAGCTAATCAACGGGATCAATGGTTGTTTCTCACCTCTTCTTTGTTGATGATTCGATAATATTCACAAAGGGAATGCAAAGATCACTGACTCAATAAATCCTTTGAAACCCATGAAGCAGCAACAGGTCAAAAATAAATTGACAGAAAAGTTTCTTATTAGTTGCGGATGACTATGCTAGCCATACGGAGATGATACAAAGGGTACTGGGCTTTCGAAGATGATCATTCCCTTTTGACTCTATTATGGGAGGAAAAACGTTTCTATGTTTCAATACTTGTTGGATGCTTTGGATGCAAGATTGTTAAATTGTAAAAATAAAATGGTGAGCCAAGGTGGTAGACTCTTGTTTGTAAAACTTGTTCTTTCAGCTATTCCCCATTCATGTGTGCAGCCATTAAATCCCCAAGTCAGTATTGGATGTAATGGAAAAGTAGCGTCAAAATTTTATATGGAATAATTCTAAGAAGGAACAAACTGTTGTAAGAGCACATGATCGGCTGACTTTTCCAATCAATGAAAATGGCATAATGCTGAGGAAATTCTTACCACCAATGCTTTCTCTATTAAGCTTTGGTGGAAAGTAAAACATAGAAAATGTATTTGGAGTTAGTTTCTATTATCCTTGTCTAGTGCAGCAAAAAAGAGGACATCATGGACAAAGATTGCAAAAATTGAACATAGAGCGTTGGCATGCTCTAAGGTTATTATAAGAGGCGCAAACCGACCATTTTGGTTTGGTAATTGGATGCCATTGATTGTCATTAGGATTATGGAAAATGAAAGACTCCATACCCAAATCTGATCATCAAGGAATTTTGTGCAGAGAAGCTGTTATACTAAGCTGAATTTTAGAATATTTTGCATGAGCATGTACGTACTAGGATTTTTGAAGAATTTTGAACACT